CCCCCGTGCCAGGTCCCCCCAGCTCCCACTCACCCCAGATCCCAAAGGTCCCCCCCAGAAAAGAAGCAGAAGAGAGTCAGTTTCAGGGTGATGTACTCGAACATAGATGGGATCACAAGCAAGACAAGTGAACTAAGGGAAAGAGCACAAGAAGTTAACCCAGATGTAATCGGACTCACTGAAACAAAACTCTCTGGAATCATAACGAATGCCGTGTTTCCCCAGGAGTATACAGTAATAAGGAAAGAGAGGGAAGGTAGAGGAGGAGGCGGAGTGGCCCTACTCATGAGAAGGGAATGGAGTTTTAAGGAGATGGCCATCCCGGGCTGTGAGGAGTTCAGAGACTACATAGCAGGCACCATAACAATGGGAGGACCAAGAATAGTAGTAGCAGTAATATACAACCCTCCACCAAATGACAGGAGACCCAGTCAAGAGTATGAAAACAACAACAAGGCAGTTAACACTATAATTGAGAGGGCAGCCTCTGCTGCCTGTAGAAATAGATCCCACCTGCTCATCATGGGCGACTTCAATCACGGAAAGATTGACTGGGAGAACAAGGAACCGCATGGAGGCGAGGATACGTGGAGAGCCAAACTATTGGAGGTGGTGACAAGCAACTTTTTAACGCAGCATGTCGGAGAACCCACAAGGATGAGAGGCAATGACGAACCAGCGAGACTCGACCTAGTCTTCACTCTGAACGACTCCGACATAAGAGAAATCGGTTTTGAGGACCCAGTAGGAATGAGCGACCACAGTGTACTGGTGTTTGAGTACTTGATTGAAGAAGGGTTATTGAACTCGAGGAGGGATACCGAAACCAAAAGGTTAGCATACCGAAAGGGAAACTATGAGGGGATAAGAAAATTCCTAACAGATATAGCATGGGAAACAGAGCTCAGGGGAAAGACGGCCCAAGATATGATGGATTACATCACGCAGAAGTGCAAGGACGCAGCAAACAAGTTTGTCCCAGTCCAAAAGGAAAACAGAGAAATGAAGATGAGAAACCCATGGTTTAATCAAAGATGTAGGCTAGCTAAGCAGCAAAGTAAAAGGGCATGGAGAAACTATAGGAATAACAGGACACTGGAGAGCAGAGAAAGATACCAGAATGCCAGGAATGAATATGTCAGGATGAGAAGAGAGGCAGAAAGACAATACGAAAATGACATCGCAAGCAAGGCAAAGACTCAGCCTAAATTGTTGCATAGCCACATTAGGAGAAAAACAACAGTAAAGGAACAGGTTATGAGATTAAGGATAGGGGCGGAAGGATTCACTACAAATGACAAGGAAGTGTGTGAGGAATTGAATAAGAAATTCCAGGAGGTCTTCACCTTAGAACAAGGAGAAATTCCAGAGGTAAGTGAGGGAATAGCTAACCAGGAACCACTGGAAGAGTTTGAGATTACCAGTGGGGAAGTAAGGAAGTGTTTACTAGAGTTGGACGTGACGAAGGCTATAGGCCCAGATGGAATCTCCCCTTGGGTTCTAAAGGAAGGAGCAAGAGAACTGAGCCTACCACTCTCCATAGTGTATAACAAATCACTGGCAACAGGGGAACTGCCAGATACTTGGAAAGCAGCTAACGTAGTCCCGATATACAAGAAAGGGGATAGACAGGAGGCACTGAACTACAGGCCAGTGTCCCTAACCTGCATACCATGCAAGCTGATGGAGAAGATTGTGCGAAAAAAACTAGTGGAGCATCTGGAGCGAAGGAACTTTGTAACACAGCATCAACATGGGTTCAGGGATGGCAGGTCCTGCCTCACAGGGTTACTTGAATTCTACGACCAGGCAACAAAAATAAGGCAAGAAAGAGAAGGGTGGGCAGACTGCATATTTTTGGATTGTCAGAAAGCCTTTGATACAGTGCCACACAAGAGGCTAGTGCGAAAGTTGGAGATGCAGGCTGGAGTGAGAGGGAAGGTACTCCGGTGGATAGAGGAATACCTAAGCAACAGGAGACAACGAGTCTGTGTGAGGGGTGAGGTCTCAGATTGGCGAGACGTCACAAGTGGAGTCCCGCAGGGGTCAGTCCTTGGACCTATACTGTTTCTGGTATATGTAAATGATCTCCCAGAGGGTATAGATTCGTTCCTCTCAATGTTTGCCGACGATGCAAAAATTATGAGGAGGATTGAAACAGAGGATGATAGTAGGAGGCTACAAGATGACCTGGATAGACTGAGTGAATGGTCCAACAAATGGCTGTTGAAGTTCAACCCGAGTAAATGCAAAGTAATGAAACTAGGCAGTGGAAACAGGAGGCCAGGCACAGGATACAGAATAGGAGATGAAGTACTTAATGAAACAGACAGAGAGAAAGATCTAGGAGTTGATATCACACCAAACCTGTCTCCTGAAGCCCACATAAAGAGAATAACGTCTGCGGCATATGCGAGGCTGGCTAACATCAGAACGGCGTTCAGGAACCTGTGTAAGGAATCATTCAGAATCTTGTACACCACATATGTAAGACCAATCCTGGAGTATGCGGCCCCAGCATGGAGCCCGTACCTTGTCAAGCACAAGACGAAGCTGGAAAAAGTCCAAAGGTATGCTACTAGACTAGTCCCAGAACTAAGAGGCATGAGTTATGAGGAAAGGCTGCGGGAAATGCACCTCACGACACTGGAAGACAGAAGAGTAAGGGGGGACATGATCACAACCTACAAAATCCTCAGGGGAATCGACCGGGTAAACAAGGACGAACTTTTCAACACTGGTGGGACGCGAACAAGGGGACACAGGTGGAAGCTGAGTACCCAAATGAGCCACAGAGACGTTAGAAAGAACTTTTTCAGTGTCAGAGTAGTTAGCAAATGGAATGCATTAGGAAGTGATGTGGTGGAGGCTGACTCCATTCACAGTTTCAAATGTAGATATGATAGAGCCCAATAGGCTCAGGAATCTGTACACCAGTTGATTGACGGTTGAGAGGCGGGACCAAAGAGCCAGAGCTCAACCCCCGCAAGCACAATTAGGTGAGTACAATTAGGTGAGTACACACACACACACACACACACACACACTTTGATCCTATATTTGACAATTTCCACATTGTCCAGCTGATATTATTATTATTATTATTATTATTATTATTATTATAATAATAATTATTATTATTTTTTATTTTTATTTTATTTGAATGTAAGAATTCTTACATTCTTGTACAGCCACTAGCACACATAGCATTTTGGGCAAGTCCTTAATCCTATGTTTCCCAGATTACGACATCGTCAAATCGTTTAACAATCAGGTACACATTTTATTTTTGGGGTAAACAGAGGCTACAGTTAAGGATTTGCGCCCAGGAAATCCTCCCCGGCCAGGATACAAACCCAGGACAAAGCGCTCACAAAACGCCAGGCAAGCGTCTTGCCACTACGCCACGGGGACTTAATTTATTTACCAGGTACAATGAGTTTGTGAGATTACATAATATTTGCATTTTTACATTCTCACAAAGCCACTAACACGCATAGCATTTCAAGCAGAAGAATGGTTACCAAAATATCTGGTAACCATTATCATAACCCAGACTGAGAAACCTGCATTTGTCAGCATTAAATTGCATCTGGCAGATTTTTGTTTGTTTTAAAAGCCTAAGTGATCTCGTAACGATTTTCAATCTTCTGTATCCATTTCCATCCCTGTTTTTGAATTATCAGCAAATTTACTAATGTTGCCTTGCGATGATTTCGGGGCTCAACGTCCCCCACGGCCCGGTCCTTAACCAGGCCTCCTAGCTGCTGGTCGAGGACCAGCAGGTCGAATGTTCTTCAATCCTGATAAAGTTATTTATATATAAAAAAAAAAAAAAAGTCCTGTGACAAAGCCCTTTACAAGCAACAGTTCCTCACTCGATTTAGGCCAATCCTCGTTTCCTTTGAAATAACCATGCCCTAATCCAACTAATGATATTCCCCTATGCGCTGTGTTTCCGAGGTTGTATCCATGGTTGTACTGCATGTAAAATATTCTATGAAATACAGGGGCAAAGTTTTTGTTTAGAATATAATCCATTTCATTGACATTTTCAATTACTTGAACTATTTCATTTATCCAGGTTTCTCCCTAATCTTTGATATATTAAAAAAAAAAAAAAAAAAAAAAGAGCCCCTTAAGATTTGCTGTTACCTCCCCAGACACCTACACTACAATATTTCTTTATGCTTTCCTTTTTTGTTTAACAAGTCTTGCTAGCTTGACAAACAGGCATTTAAGATAAACTTTCCCATTCTTTATTTGTTCATATATGGCTTCTTTAAAAACAAAAACAAAATTATTTGGTCCCATGGTTAACCCATTTTAGTCGAATATAAATACAGTATATAAGAATAATAATATAGTGATTCTTCTATACATCAACTTTTTAAAATAGGAGGGGAAGGCCTGAAAGGTGAGTGGACAGTATGTGGGGAAGTGGGAGGTGGGGATGAATGATGTAAACGACATGGTAGAGGCCAATGCTGGGTGGAGGTGGTTTGTAAGGCGGTAGCAAATGGATTTGTTAGTACCGAGTATGATGCTTCGCGAGAGATACAGTACTGTACTGAATACCTGATCTTATGAAATTGTCAAGTGTGGTGGTACGTGTTTAGCCATGAGAGATATATACATACATATATACACACACACACACGCGCATTGTATAATGAACAAACGAGTGGTACCGTATTTTCTTTAAAATTTCAAAACCTTTTCATTATATTATTCACATTTCTTTCCTCTGAGGCAATGCCTCCCACACTTGCAAAACTTGAGAAAAGTGGTAATGACAATGTATGCAATTATTCTCTACAATTTTATGACATTTACAAATTTCTGTAAATTCTAGGCAGTACAGACAAGACTATTCTGTACCAGCTTTGTTGTCCCACAAAAAGGGTTAAAGGGAAAATCAAAAACACATGAATATCCCAAACACACACACATTTATCCATGAACAATTAAAATATTTGTTTTCCCTACTGGGTACTCACCAATTCCTTTCTGTTAGGTTTAGCCTTATCAAGCGCACGATTTGATGACTGGTAGTCAACCATCAAACACGTACGATCGAGCAGCATGGCACTTTCTGCTTGGATGTAGCGGTGCCATAAGGTTTGCACTGTGCCCAGCATGATATCTTCCTTGCTTGCCTTATCATCTGTTTCACTCTAAAAAAAAAGAAAAAGAAAAAATGCATATAGGTGGTGTAAAAGAAAACCAAAATCTCTATCTAAAACATTTTGAGCTTAGAGGGTATAGTAACTAGTAGAAATAATTATGAAACACATTATGATTAAACAAGGCAGCTGTAGGATAAACTTTCCCAGTAATGATCAACATGGTTTTCTAGGCAGTGTAGTAGACGTTGATGGCTCCTCCACTGCTGAACAAGGGCCACATTTTTTGTTTAAACTATTATGCATGTCCCTTGTTAACTAGGTTCCTGCTTGAACATAATATTAGAGAATGTGCACAATAGTGTCACAAAGGAGAGAAATGCTGGTGTTCGACAAAAATATTTCAGTAGGCGAATACCAGCTAGGAAAAAGCAACAAAATTCTTGCAGTGCATTGGAAAGAGAGACACGAAGTGAATTTAGTGACATCCATTCAAGCTGGCAAGATGGTAAACAGTGGCAAGGTCAACAAAACAGTATATAAGAATCAGTATATAAACCAGATTGTGCCATGGACCATAACATATAGGGACCTGATGGCCGAGTGGACAGCACTCAGGGTTCGATCCCCAGTGGAGGCATAAACAAATGGTCAGTTTTTCTTTCACCCTGATGCACCTGTTCACCTAGCAGTAAATAGGTACCTGGGAGTTAGACAGCTGCTATGGGCTGCTTCTCGGGAATGTGTGTGTGTGTGAAAATTAGGATTAAGGACATGCCGAAATGCTATGCATGCTAGTGGCCGTACAAGAATGTAAGAACTCTTGTATATATATAAATAAACAAATAAATAATTATACATGTGCTTGGTTGATAAATGCGGCATGATGGTTAGTGCTGTTAAGTGTGTACATTCAACTGTCAAGTGGACCAAGATGATGTTTTTCAACCTTGTTGATGTAACCATGGTGAACAGTTATATGTAAATGGTGAAATCAGGCTGTAAACCAACTGTGTGTTCAGACTTGCCATTCTGACCCCTATTACTAACAAAGTTTAGTAAAGACATTTCTGTCGAACAGAGGCATTCAGGACCCAACATTGCCTCATGGTACTCCAGAGAGACTGGCTTTCTAAGAAGGTTCCTGCTGCACAAAATAAAATATATTCCATCTACTGGAAACGGTAAATAAAATATTTTGATGCACACATTAGACAGGCACTCATATATTTCTGCTTATCAATGTTCCACACATTTGATTGTATTACAACAAAGTGACACCATAGTGAACATAAACAGTGGGAAAAAAACTAGTAAGTTACAGTGAAAATAAATTGTAATAAATTTATTCGCAGCAGCTCGCACAAAGCCGCCGCAATGCTCACTGCAGGACTAGGCATGAATTAGTAGTCATTACTAGATATCTTCGCTCATTCAGAGCCATAGCAAGTTGTATTCAATTTTATTATTTTTCCTGTGGTCAGGGAACACATTTTTTCAGTAACAATATTTGAAAGAAAAACTTTGTTAGGGAAATTTGATTTTCTCATGCAATCGGGGCATTGTTAACCCCTGCACTGCGCAAAGCGCCTTTAGGCGCTCTGAGTTGTGCTATTTTTTTTTTAATTAGGCTATATTTTAATGTTTTTTAATGTTTTCATTACTCTTTGTGTTTTTAAATGAAAATAGTCGAGTTTGGAAACATTTTGACATTCAATTTACCTGAATATTTATGTAAACAACAAGAATATGTCCTTGATAATTGCCCCAAAAAGTTTTTGCTGAAACCAGGTGCGCAGTGCAGGGGTTAAGGAATAACAGACGAGCAGCTCAGGGGTTAATATGGTTATAGGGTATAAAAGTTACTAACCTTTATGCTATCCATACACTCCAGGAAAAGTATATTAATAATATTGAACTGTTTGTTGTGGACCACATCATTAGGACAGCTGCTTAACTTGAGGGCTGTGACAATGTGTTCCAGCTGGTGACCTATCCCTGCATCAAAAATGACAGCATTTAGTTATGTAACTGTACATATCTACACAGTATGTCGAAACAAATCAGATTATTAGTATGAATAACATTATTTATAATATTCAAAACAAATGCACTTATAAATTACATTCATAACCTGTCATTTACCTACTTTATTTTTAATGCAACAAAACAAGGAAATTTACATACTAAACTCTCAAATACAGTTTGCATATACAATATGAGAATACATCTAGAGCGTATATAATTTATTTTAAGTCATTATACACTTTCCCTTCAATGTCAACTCTGGTTCCTCTCTTCTAAGCCTCCCTAATCTCCACTACGAGCAATACTTATTGCTCTGCTGCATCTCTTCAGAATTATGATCTTTGGAATTATAAAGCAACAAATGTTTAATTTAATTAGGATGCAACAATGAAATTTTAAAATTACTCATCTACATAAACAAAAACCTGCACACACAGTACCAGCACTCAATACAAGTACTACCCGCCAAACACACACCGAAACTACGACGTTGGTACAACGTTCGAACAAGTTTTAACACTTCCTAACCAGTTATAACAACCAATATATCAAGTTGTAACAACGTTCTAATACGTCATAAGCACGTTAAGCCAAGATGTAACATCTTTATTACAAGTTGTAACAAGCGGAAAATAGAGACAGTTTCGGTTTGTGTTTCCAGGGATACTGTACAATACTTTGAAAAAAATAAAAGCATAATTTACTGTACTTACTAAGCTGAGCATATATTATCTTGTTAAAGGCATCACTGGCATTGGCAATTGCTGGTTGATATTTAGCAACCCAATCACGTTCCTTTTGAAAGAACTCTTCACTGTCAGGATATGATGACTTCCGAGAATCAAGGCTATCAGACAGTCTGCTTATCAACCCTTTTTTGACCTTTAAAGAAAATATATTTCGGTGTATTTTACTGATAAAAGACTTTTGTGCATAAGTAAAGACTAAGTGTTCATTATGAAATCTGGCTGAACGAAATGCTTTGATATAACACACATGAATTATAGGAAAAGAAGATTACTAAACATCCGAAACCTAACTGCTAACAGCTTTTTGCTCTATTCCTATACAAATATAATATGAACAGAGAACACAGGCTAATGGGAAAAGAAGTTTAGACTAACATCAAAGATTTTAAAATTAACTGGACCAAATGAAATAAAGACCACAATTCATTCTTCCTATGATTTTGACCGTCTTCGCACTGTTAATATCTTGGAACTACAAATTATTATTTATGGTCTGGTGGACACCTTTGTTTGACTTCTTGTTCCTGGTGCTATATCAGTCATGCAGTTCCCGTGGCACAGTGGTAAAACACTTCCCCGGTGCTTCACAAGTACTTTGGCCTGGATTCATATCCTGGTCGGGGAGGATTGACCGGGTGCCAATCCTTAACTGAAGCCTCTGTTCACCCAGCAGTGAATGGGTACCTGGTTGTTAAACGATTTGGCGGGTCGTATTCTGGGAAAAAAATTAGATTAAGGACCTGCCCGAAACGCTGTGTGTGCTAGTAGCTTTACAGGAATGTAAGAACTCTTGTATATATAAATAAGTAAATAAAAATAAATAAAATAAATTATTATTATGCTTTTTGTAATAAAAATGATGGAACATACTCAAACACATTCTGTACTAAAATCACTTTTGAAAAAGTTTTTTGTTTAATTCAGCAACTATTGTACAGCACTTTGCTTGTTCCACCATATGTTTCCACAATTGTTTTGCTACCAAGTCATGTGAAATGGTATCATGATAAGTACGACTGTGGAACCATTAATAGTAACACCGGACTCGTTAAGCATTGATGCAGTGTATGCTAGTTCTTGCAACGTCTAACTCTTACTCTGCCATGAAAATAAACATTACTGTGTAGGATATGTCACAAAGGCATCTACTGAGTATCGTTCCAATAGTTAATACAATACCGAGTCTCGCTACATTTATATCATAGGCTTTTGCAAAGTTATTAACTATTTTTATATCCAATTTGAGCACAAAATTTTTCTCTAGGGGGAATGAAGACTTAATTTAACCAGATTGTAATTTAAAAGAAGATTTCTCTATAATTTCAGTAAATTACTGTATTGCATATTAAATATATTAATAATTTTGTAATTATGGAATATATTCATAATTTTTCAAATACAAACAGGGTTTTATTAAAATATATTCACGAACATAAAAAAATAATTTGTGGTCATTATTTGAGAACAAATGTACATATTTCTAGGATATTTAAATGTAATTTAGACAGTATTTTTATATATGTTAATTAATACATTTTACACTACACAAAAAAACCCAGGCTACATGGAATTTAGGCCGAACTTTTAATTTCCTTTTTATACTGATAAATGAATTAGCATTTTATACCTTTGTCCTAGGAGGAGCATCCTTTGTAGTCAAAAAGTCATGCAACTTTTCATTCTTTCCCAAAACAGGATGTGAGAGGAGCAACTCTAGGTACCTGCCAGGAAAAAAAGAAAAGAGTAAGGATTCTGAAAGTCAGATGTTTGCAGCAAAGTAACAATGATCTAAACTATCACAGTTTCATACCTAGTTAACAACCATTAGTTAACAACCAACGGTACAAAAGTAAAATGTTAGCCACCTCAGTGCACTGTGATTATGATTATTTTGTCCCAATAACAGTGATGATTAGGACCTATTGATATTATGACTGTTGAGATTTAGGCCTCAGGCCAGGTACTGATGCAGGCACAGACAAACTGAGTGAAGGAACAGTGCTGAAGCACTTAACCCTGCCCAGGATTAAAATCTCACTTTTACCTTTTACCAAACCTCTCACTTTTAAGAGGGTTATCTAGAAAAAAATGGGGAGAAAAAAAATTCTCTACAATTTTTTTTTTCACTAATATCAACTTTCCTCAAATTTAATCAGATGAAAGAACTTAATTTGCACTCTAGGAATATTTATATTTTTTTTATAAAAATATGACTATATTACTCACTTTTGCAGCTGGTGACAATCTTTATGAAACTCATCTGCTATCAGTGTCTTTGAACCTTTTCCCATTAATCTTCTGGACTGTATCTCTGCATTATAAGGATCTGAAGGAGACAGTCATAAAACTCATTTAAAACAGGTTTCACCAAATGTTAAATCTACATTAAATTCTACTAAACATTTCATTCACCTTGGGCACTAGGAGCCTTGAGCCCTCAACCTCCGGCATGGGAGGCAGATACTATCAACTGCGCTACTGGGCAAGCCTAGTAGATCCAGTGTCTCCCTCTCCCCCCATGCTGGAGGTCGGGTGTTCAAGGCTTCTAGTGCCCAAGGTGAATGAAAAGTTACATCCACGGTACTGTGGTACCGTGGATGTATATACATATATACTGTATATAAATACAGTATATAGCAATGCTATATACTGTATATAAATACAGTATATAGCATTGTGTATATTAACAATAAGAAATATTTTAATTTATCATTATACTGTACTTATTTAAGGTATGATTATCATGGGTATATGTTGCAAACTATAATTATCTTAAGAAAAATAACATTAAAGCTTCATGAAAGACAATAACATTTAAGCTTGGGGAAAGACAATTTGTTTCAATATACACCCCCGTCTACTAATTTATACAGGCATAACTTCTTACATGCACTAATGATCTTTCAGAAGAAATTAATTATGTGCAGCAACAAATACACTGATCATAGCAAAATAACTAGGAAAATCCAAAAAATCTAATTATGTAATAAATAATATGTCTATATTAATAAGAGTGATTTTCTCACTAGCTGTTCAATACAAAGTATGCGAACCTATTGCAGAACGCTGTGGAATTGGTGGAATGATTAGACCATGCAAGGGTTGACTTGTTGTAACACAATGATCTAGGTATTCAAAGTCTTCATATTCTCTTTCCAGCATCTGAATTGTAAGGCCATTCTGAAAATGATGAAAAGAATTACCGGCTGAAAACGCTCCTTTACATAATGACAATTTTAACGAGTTGGTGAAATTGCCCTATAAAACATAATAAACTTAAAATAGCTCCACTATAAGTCACCTAATAGAATGCAGGCGATGAGTCACAATAACGTGGCTAAAGTACGTTGACCAGACCACACACTAGAAGGTGAAGGGACGACAATATTTCGGTCTGTCCTGGACCATTCTCAAGTCGATTGTGTCACAATAGACTTGAGAACCCCATCCCCCACACACACACACACACAATCTTGTGAGCTATTTTGCATATGTATTGTACTCAGAACCCATCCTCAACACAATGCATCTCGATTTGAACACTACTGATTCAAAGCATTTTAATTTGGATGCTAGTAAGAATTAAAGCTCTTCAATTTGGAAGCTTCCCTTGTCTAGTGGCTATTTACTAATTAATTATTGTATACATACATAAAGCATATGATATTCTAAAGCACTTTTATAGAATGTTATTCTCACATTTTGATATAGTATTTAATTTGAAGCATTTTTACCTAACCACAAGCATATAAATCTAGACCAGCTCATGTAACCTATCAAGGCCAATGCACCATCAGTCTCATTAGGTTATGTCGACAGGTCTAGGTTCATACACTTTTGGTTAGTCAAAAGCACTTCAAACTACAGGAGGTCCCCATTATACAAATACTCTTTATATGAACACTCGTTCATCTGAATGCTTCTCAAGTACCTTTTTGTGCATCAATTCAGTAACTTATCCTACTCTGCCATCTCCTGTATTATGAACAATGCCAAACATCTGCACTGCACCCAGGTGGTACGAAAACATCTGCATGGCCCACTATGCAGATAGGCCAAATATGACCCTGTTCCAGGGCTCACATTTCTCAGGTTGTCTGCAGTGTTATTAAGACCAGCCAGCCTGTGGGCTACCCTCATGCCCATGATGTCTGAAAGTATGTCGCCGTGATGGCTGCCTTTAGTAATGTTGTATGTCTTGGGCCAATATTCAGGCCCAGGGGGTTTTGGAGGTCGAACAGGGTCTTGGCTGCCAGGTATCTCGTTAACATCCCTGATTCTCTGTGGCCATGTGTTGCGGATGTTAATCTCTCCTTCGACTTGATACCTGCAGTACTGCCGTCTCTTAGGCGAGTGCCCTTTTGTCCTTCTCTGTGGGTAGTTAGCTTCTGGAAGCTGATGTGGCTCCCCACATAAAACCAGCGTTGAATGTAATAAAATGGCAGTTTCTGGGTGATCCTTGGAGGCTCCCTGACACCCTTCCTCTCCCAGGTCATAGGCGGGTTTTATCATTATAGAACTAACCTGTGCGAGGCACGGCTGACCCAGGCTGGCTCCCTCCTTCCCCAGACAAGGGGGAAAGTGGGGGAGGGCAAACTAGTAGATAATGCATATTCCACACAGTCTTAAGATGCTGCTTCTGCTTTCTGGGGTCAGAGCATATGCAGGCCCCAGATACAAGACTTGAAATTTTAACAGGACAAAATTTGATAAGTGTTTTGCAGCCCAGTCACCCTCTCCTTTAATGCCTGGGAATGCATGGTTAATTGTAAGCTTAATGCAAGATTAATGGTGGGTAATGGGGTTGCCACAGGTGATTAGCTTCCTGTCCTTGCCACAGCCACTAAAGATGGTGGCACTCTAGTATAAACAAGTAAAACATACATCTATAAGCAAATGTACTGCACATGCATACATACCATACACAATCATAGCTACCTGTGAAACTTGAAGAGTAAACTTTACACTGTCACCATCTTTGGTGACACGATCACTCAAGCGGACACTGAACTTTGGTGTGAATGGGGCTTGTGGCTCGGGTGTTGATGCCCCTGATGACATCCCTGACAAAGAGCCTTCCTCCAACATTCTTAATCTGAAATATATTTTGTGTCATTAATGGGCACCTTGTGATATTTACTTTCTTACAGTAAAGATTTAGCCTATATTTGAAATACTTGAAATTTCAATTTCTATTTCCGAGACATATACTGACGAGCAAAAAACAATGAAAAATAAAACCCTTATCTCACTTGTACAAAGGATATTCAGCAGTTGTCAAATTTGAAGACCATCTGCCCCTCAGGGCAAAAGAAAATTGTTACCTAAAGTTGCACATGAAACTAAACCAAATCAATTGTAAAATTCTTCAAATACAGTACTGTATACCCAAAGTGGGTTCTGGGAGTTGTTCTACTCCTCAAGCCCAGCCCGGAGCCAGACTCAACTTGTGATAACTTGGTCCAACAGGTTGCTGCTTGGAGCAGCCCACAGACCGACATATCCACCATAGTGAAACAATATAATTCATTGTGGCGAGGGAAAGGCAGCCAGTATATACAGAGAGTACATGTTAAGCTTATATTGAGGCCAACCCCCCCTCCAGGGTCAAATTACTGACCCTCCCCAGGATGCAACCTCATACTGATGTATTGTTTTACAAAGGTAGGTATAACTGTAATTTACAGTTTGCACATTTTTATGAAACTCCATTTTGTAACGATCTCTTGGACTAGGCCAAAACTTATCCCGCAGACAGCCAGTATCTTAGGTGTTTGTTAGTTAATTTAAAAACTTCATTTATAAATCATTTAAACTTAAAAGTGACTGAAAACTAAGTTTCAAGTAAATTATATTTATATAAGGGCAAAAATAATAGCTTAACACTGATCATTAACATTTTAATTATGTTAATTGAAATGGCACGGCCCATAATGACATCAGATGATTCTTTAATTACTCCTGAGAAAACAGTGCTAGTTGCAGGGTATGGGTTCCCATTTCCTTTTGAATGTCTTGCTCTCACAAGGGTTCAGAACCCTGCAGAGGAAAAATTAGATTGTACTGTTCGACCAGTGATGACCTATTCCACTTGTATCTTACGTAATTGTAGGAAATATGATGGCACATAATTTAGAGCAGTCATGTCTTGCTTGAAGGGTTCAACTGGTCACAGCCTTCTAACACAGAGGAATTACCATTGCAATGGCATTTGCCATTTTTGCTATTTTTTATACCATAATTACTGTAGTTTGATTTTAAAGCCCATCCTCCTATTTAGTTAGTACTTATAGTAACGATGAGGACCAAAGTACATATTCGATGTAATGGACAATTAGAAAGTGGAAATCGTTACTATTAAATTTGAACAAACCGGAAAAGGTTTTGTATTTAGGTTGCAAAATCAACCTAAACTAACCTAACATTCCTATGCCTAATACATGCTATCTGAGGCTTAATATAATACAAATATATGCTAAATTAGGCCTTGGAATACTTCAGTTTTTTTTTTTTTTTTTTTTTTTTTACTCTATAAATACTAAATTTTACTATCTAATTTCCTTGTACGTCAATATTTGTACTATGGTACACGGCTACAAAAAGTACTATCTAAACAGGAGGATGGGTTGGAATTTATTAGCAAAAATTTAGAAAACTTATTTGCACATACAGTATTCCAATGTCTAAATTACAGGAAAAACTTGTATGCATGTACTGCATAATATAAAATTTCAGATGATGGCATTTTGCATTTAAATTTAAAATCACAATTTTATAAATTTTTCTTATTTGTTAAAGCCACATATCTAACCTGGAAAATCATGAAAACCTTTGATGTTTGTAACTTTATATTTCATCTAAACTTCAATTAAGCAAGATGTCAATGTATAGTATGTAAATCAAATCATAAATCTTCACACCATATAAAATAATAATTCACTGTCGGGACAAGAAGCCAGAATGTATTTATACATGATAGGCTTTTATCGAGGTCCACATCCTCCCTCATCAGCCTCACCTTACCCTCATAAGACCAAAACACCGAACCATGTAGCTATCCACTGTATAACAACTCGGTAACAAAAAATCAAGCCAGTAGGAAAAAATACGTCCATGCTAATTCCTGGACATGCCAATGCTGCACCCCTCCCACTCAAAGATCAAGCCAGAAAATTAAAAGTAACAATGAGAAAACGCCAAGCCAACATGAGTATATAGTACTCGGATGGGAATACAAAGACAGGGATCTAGGACAGGGTAGAGGGAAGGAATGGTACCCATCCGCTTGAACCATCAGGGATTAAACGTTGACCTGCAAGAAGCAAGGCCTCCACTGTACCATCAACTTCCATGATCCAATACGAACACTTTAAACCAAAACATCATAATACTATAGGTGCCGTTTTGAATGACACCCCGTAGACAAAATGGTTATATTCGAGGTTATATCTCAAGACAAGAATCCGAATAAAGGTATATGCCCATTCAGAATGTATCCACAAAAAACCATACCCTACAACTCGAGTTATATCACGTATACCACACACCACAAGAGCTATCCCACTACACAGACTAGCCACACACACACACCACAAGAGCTATCCCACTACACAGACTAGCCACACACACCACAAGAGCTATCCCACTACACAGACTAGCCACACACACCACAAGAGCTATCCCACTACACAGACTAGCCACACACACCACAAGAGCTATCCCACTACACAGACTAGCCACACACACCACAAGAGCTATCCCACTACACAGACTAGCCACACACACCACAAGAGCTATCCCACTACACAGACTAGCCACACACACCACAAGAGCTATCCCACTACACAGACTAGCCACACACACCACAAGAGCTATCCCACTACACAGACTAGCCACACACACCACAAGAGCTATCCCACTACACAGACTAGCCACACACACCACAAGAGCTATCCCACTACACAGACTAGCCACACACACACACCACAAGAGCTAGCCCACGACACAGACTAGCCACAAAGTGACCCCAGCACCCAGGTACCTGGGAGCTAGCTGGCTGGCTTGACCCGGGGAGAGATCCGCCCCCCAGCGCCTGATTCACGCCCACATTCCCCAACGGGTAAATACACAGCCACAGAGTCTTCCCACCCCCTGGAGGAGAGGAAGGCGAGCTTACGTGTGTGAGGAGGGAAAGGTGGGGGTCATGCCCGGGGCGAGGATACACCCACCGCGACCCCCGACACAGAAGGATACACCCACCGTGACCCGCGACACTCGCGGATAAACAAACACTATCGCGCTGTCAGCTGGCCGCCTCCCTCTCGCCCTCACGGGGTCACAATTCTCCTCACTCCGGAGGGGGAGGGGAGGGAGCACGTGTCACATGTCGGTTAAGCCACTTGTATTTATACAAAAAAATGGACCAAAATATACTGAATACCTGTTTGTTTAAGAAGGGAGTATGTGTCTGTGGCGTCTCTTTATCGGCACCCGAACTGACAGCGAGATAACCTTAGTAATCTCACACGTTGGGAGAACAATGCCTACAATGCCTGTTGCATACACACACCTTACCTTATCTTCTCTCTGCCCTTCAGTTATGTAAACAATTAATATAAAAAGTTACTTCTATGTTAGCTTTAAGACTACCAAAACTCATTAATATTTATGCAAGAATAATTAATAATTTAATAATTCATTGTGTCTGAGGATAGGCATCCGGAGTAATGGGGCTCAACCACCGCAAACTACCTGAAAACTCATCACCACCCAGCACAAAATCAACTATTACAACTATTTCAAATTCTTTTTTGGCAGACAGCTTGCCATCCTTCTCTTCAAATCCCTAAACTCTTCTTAGATGGGTCCAACAGAACCCACGAATCTTACACAAGAAATTAATATAACTATAAATTTCCACGGTTCTGCAAGCACAAACCCATAGGATCAGTAGACAATAATAGTAGACTTAGTACAGGAAAAAGTTCGCTCACTGTTGAATTTTCTGCAAAGTAGATAATGTCTCTGAAGATGAGGTCACCATGCCACCACCATATTGTATCCAAGCATGCATGCTTGGATACAATAATCCAAGTGGGGCGCAACAGAGATTTGTACAATTGTATAACTATATTGTACCTCCTTTTCCTTGAAGTCAAAGTTTCGTGTGACTATTCCTAGAATTTGGTTAGTTTAGCCAATTTATTATAGATCCTAGGAATAATCAAACGAAACTTAATTTAAGGAAAAGAAGGTAGTTATACAACTGTACAAAACTCTTGGATTGTTGTATCCAAGCATGGAGATCCTCAGACACATCTCTGTTTCCGAGAAAGTTCAACACCAGGCGACGAAATCATTCCAGAACTAAGTCGAGTCGCATATCAGGAACGGTTGAGGCCACGGGGCTAACAACACTGCAAAACCACATGACAGGGCTGATCTCATCAAAATTGAAAATACTGAACAATTTTGAGAATATTGGTCAAAGCTACTGCTTCAAAAGGTCAGATGTATCATGAACAAGGAGCAATGGTTTCATGCTCAACAAGCCACAATGCAGAATAGAAAATAGGAGATGCTTTTTCATCCATAGGGTCATGACCCCTGGAACCACTTACCCGCCAAAGCCTGCTGAATTTCCAAATCCAGCTCGATAAAGTTATCAGGTCAAATGTGGGGGGAACCTTTGACCAGGTGCCGACTTCTTGTCCTGTGCCTCAGTACTCACCTAGCTGTGCTTGCGTGGGTTGAACCTAGGTTCTTTGGTCCCTCCTTTCAACTGTCAGTCAACTGGCGTACAAATTCCTGATGCTATTAGGCTCTATCACATCTACATTTGAAATTTATGGAGTCTGCCTACACCACATCACTGCCTAGTGCATTCCATTTGTTAACTACTCTAGACCCTGAAAAAGTTCTTTCTAATGTTTCTGTGGCTTATACGGTACTCATTGTTCACCTATGTCTCCTTGTGCATGTACCACCAGTGTTAAACAAACTGTCTTTATCTACCCCTATCAATTTCTGTGAGAATCCTGTATGTGGTGATCATGTCTCACCTAACTCTTCTTCCAGCAATGTGAGGTTCATTTCCTGTAGTCTTTCTTTATAGTTCATACCCTTCAGCTCAGGGACTAGTCTGACAGCATATCTTTTGAACCTTCTCCAATTTAGTCTTGTGCTTGACTAGGTATGAGTCCATGCTGGAGCTGCATACAGGTACTTTCATGGAGTCCACACCTTGTCAAGCACAAGACGAAGCTGGATAAGGTCCAAAGGCAGGCCACTAAACTAGTTCCAGAACTGAGGTATGAGTTACGAGGAATGGATATGTGAATTACACCTCATGTCTCTGGAAGATAGAAGAGTTCACCACATACAAAATTCTCAAGGGAATAGACAGGGTATATAAGGACAGATTATTTAGCATGGGTACACAAGGGGATAATACGGGGGACACAGGTGGAAACTGAGTACCCAAATGAGCCACAGACACATTATTTTATAAATATTTTTTCAGTGTCAAGAGTACTTAGTAAATGCAATGCATTAGGAAATAAGTAATTATCAAAAGAAGGCACCAAACCGGGAAGGCTATGTAGCACCATCAAATGTGCGGAATAATCAAAGGGCGCTAAATATCACCAAGGATGCCAATACGAGAACAAAAACGCATAAGGCGAACAACATCAAAAGTATCCGAGTCACCAAGAATTCTATTGAGGGACAGGTGACCGCGAGGGGCGGTCGGAAAGCAAGATATACGCTCGTCCTGGAAGTCAGGACATTCAAGAAGGACATGCACGACCGTAAGAGGGACAAGGCAATTAGGACAATAAGGAGCAGGGTGGCAATGCATTAATAAGTGATGTGCTGGAGGCTGACTCCATACACAAGTTCAAATGAAGATATGAGAGCTCAATAGGCTCAGGAACCTGTACACCAGTAGATTGACAGTTGAGAGTCATAAGATTTATACTTTTGCATAAATAATAATAATTATTATTACAGTACAGTATTAATTTCTTTATATACAATAAGGTACATTGCGTTGTGAAAGTAAAAATTGGAATTTGAGTGTTACATTCTTACAAAGCCACTAACATGCATAGCATTTTGGAAAAGATCCTCAAGCTAACCAATAAATGTAATAGGTAGATTATAAATGAATTTGGGATAAAAACAATAACTACATTACAAATTGATTAAATAGATTATACTTATGAAGTTGGATGTCTTAATTACCAAATTGGGCAATTGGGTATCACAAATTACAGTGAGTTAGTAGCACAAGGTGGAAAACTATGAGGATGAAATTAGGCTGAGTACTGTATTGACTTGAATTAAGTAATCCCCATAGAGCCTGCATTAAATGTAAATTCGATTGATCTCGGTTTAGCATGAGTAATTTAGTGTAGGGTACTAGGAGCCAGTACAATTAGGTGGCATATGGGTATGTTAGTAGAATATTTGAGAATTATTTAGCAAGAAGTGCACAGGGTTAAAACACGGGGATCATGTGGCAGAGGCAGACGACCAGCATCTTTGGAGCCGAGAGTGGTACAATGTATTAAAGACGAAAGAGTGGCGAGAAGACTATTGAGCAAGAAAGTGGGAAAGTTTATGGTGACAAAGCTTCCAGGTGAAACTACTGTTAAGGGTCTTTCATGGTGGAGGCATCATGGCTATAAAATACAAAGATCAAGATCGGAGACTTGCCAAGACTATTTTCTTTAACTATCAAATTACAAAGCACACATGATAAATAAATGAATATACTATATATTTTAAAAAATTTATTAATGAATAGGAATATTTATTTTAAATAAATATACAAAAGTTTTAACTGCAGACTGCAAATGTCAATCGTTTACACATTTACAAAGTATCCAATACAATTTAATTTTAGTTAAATGACAAGTCATTTAATGGTCATTTCCTTGGGTCATAAAACAAAGCTGTCCCCTATGGAATAACATTTAGTTCATACAAATACACAGGTATATGTACATGTTTAAAAGTTTGTATGCATACATGTAATTATTTTACTTGTGTAGGTGTGACTAATTATTTGTAACTACTGGAATTCCATCATCATCGGGTACAGAGGCACGAGCTGAAAGACTGAACACCAGTACTGTTTAAGATAAGAAAGGTAAATACCAGTTGTATATTCAAACCTGACACCCATCCATTCACTATACCTTTCATATTAAACATCATGGAGAACTCGCACACCACTACATTTAAAAAAATCATTCACAGGAACACACCCTCACTTAATAAAACCAGGCATGATACTCTTCATGAATTAAATACAAATTTATTCTCTCTCTCTCTTTCACAAACTGATGCCACTTAGCCTTGTTCTGTTTCACTTATTGAACTGTTTATACTCACTGTCTAACCACTTTCTTGACCTCTTCCCTCTGCCTATTCTAAAATTCACTTTCACCTGTCTATTGTTAATTTGTACATAACCAAACTTAGTTCATTGTTCTCAATATTGCTAATTGTTAACTTTTACACTACCTCCTCCAATGACATTTTCTTTCTTAAGTCTATCTTGCTGATACCACACATGCTATTCAGATTGACCATCTCTACTGATCCATTTCTTAATTTTCCTGTTCATACATTACCAGCATCTTAAAACACCTGTGCATAAGAGTATGCATTACCAATCCTCAATGTAGCCTTCCAGTTGCATATCTTCCCATCTTTTTTTTTCCAGCTTGAGGCCTCATTGTACTAGCCACTTTCAGTCCTGGACCCACACTGACCAGCCCGTCACAGCACACTTATACTTCACACACATTCCATTTGGTTTTCCTCTCTATCCGGCCATCATAACTTCACCTTTGTTTATATTCACTTGCCCAACCACCTGGGGCTGGATAGTAGAGCAACGGTCTCGTTTCATGCAGGCTGCTGTTCATTCCTCCACCGTCCAAGTGGTTGGGCACCATTCTTCCCCACCCCCTCCCCGTCCCATCCCAAAATCCTTATCCTGATCCCTTCCTATAGTCATAATCGCTTGGCACTTTCTCCCAATAGTTCCCTGTAGTTCTGCCCCTGCCCCTTACATTCACTTTTACCAATCTTGTCTCGTATACATTAATATAACTTGGAACTAATCTTTATAAACCTTCATTACAGTGATGGCCTCACTTCTGGCAAAGTAGAAAGTAATTATCATCGCTTTTGGCAAAGCCTGCTCCCGATCTTCAGTGGTCCAGGTGGTTGGGTCCCATTTCTTCCCTCCATCCTCTTATCACTGGTCTTGGAAGGAATAGGAGGGCATACTAAATGTACAATACAGTCAATAATATTTTAGCACTATTTCCTGATAATTAATTTACCCCTGTTCAAAATTTTTACAACATTTGCGTACATCAAATTTAATATAGGCCTATTCTATTTATGGTACTATCATGGACTAGGTTCACTCCAATGTTCTTCTCTTGACCTGCATCATGATCGCATTCATACACTGTATAGTATATTAAACAATGGGAACATTACACAATGTTGACACAGCCATACATTGTATAGTATATTAAATAATGGGAACATTACATAAAGTTGACACATCCATACACTGTATAGTATATTAAATAATGGGAACATTACACAATGTCGACATTGTCTTGCATTGATTACATTAATCAAACCAATTACTCATTACTCTTCATCATTAAGTTAATCTAATGATGGACACTAATTTCTTAATACAAATACTTTGCAGAATTTAAGAGAATTTACCAGTAACATATATACTGTATTGTACCACTCTAATGAATCCCTTCTAGATCTGTATCATGTAACACATTCCTTCAACTTCAACATGTAACCTGCCAAGAATCCAGAGCAGTACGTACTTTAGTCTTATATATCCTAATGTCACAGAACAAGACAGATCCCGATGGCACTCCGCAAATACCATTATTTCACGATAAATTACATCCTACAACTGTTTGCATCACTTTACCATTTGAATAGTGATGTACTATGTAATCCATTCATTCCCTCTAGTAATATTAGCCCTCCTTCACAAGGTAACACTTACATTGCACTGTGTCAAATGCTACTGTATTGCAAAAGTCTAAATGTATACAATCCACCCATACCTATCACTTTTACTGTGATATTCCACACATCGCACAACACGCATAAATATTTGGGGAGATGGGCTTGGAAGAAGTCGACTGATATTTTCAGGTTGACATGAGCTGATCAGCTGTATGATGATTTCACCAAAGTCTGATGTAACATGTACTAAGAGGGAATATAAATAAGCCTCATAAATTAGATGGAAAAACCATGTCTGAAGATAAATCTTGAGGTAGAGATACAATGAGAAAGACAAACTTTTGAGAATCATTTAAAATCTCATTGGCACAGTTTGTAATTGAAAACTATAATTTGTTATCGATTGTTAAAAATTGTGCAACTTTGTACATTAATAAAATTTAATGCCCATTGCAAAATATATTCTAGAAACAAAAATCAGTATTATATTTATGGTCAGTAAATACTGCAATGTTATTCACTGTGTCTTGATTTATGTTTGCGAGAAAAGTGTGTCAGTGTTATCATCACTAGAGTTAAAGTGATGAGGGCCAGTATCTGCTTGTGAGTTAAAATATCATCCATTGATCGAATGTCGGACAGCATCTCTCCAGCCTGAATGCATAAGAAGTTGTAGGGCAGCAATCCTGAAAAGTAAAAACATAATAAACATCTGAAATAGAAATGAATGAAGAATTGACCAGACCACACACTAGAAGGTGAAGAGACGACGACGTTTCGGTCCGTCCTGGACCATTCTCAAGACAATCGACTTGAGAATGGTCCAGGACGGACCGAAACGTTGTCGTCCCTTCACCTTCTAGTGTGTGGTCTGGTCAACTTACTTTAGCCACGTTATTGTGACTCATCGCCTGCAAATGAAGAATTGTTTACATGTAGAAATTACTTGTGTTCAAGACATCCTTAATCTCATAGAAACAGTAAATTACAAATTTCAAATTAGAAACAGCATCCAGTAATTAATAAGTTGAGGTTAATAAGTAATGTAATTTCATGTAATTAGCTGAAAACTCAATGGTATTTAGGTTTAAAAAAATATTCAATCAACACAAACGTATATGTTTAGTCAACCTATGGAAGCATTTACTTGGGCTGTGGTGAGAAATGCATAGTACATGCAACAGCACTTTTGCTATGATGTTATGTGCATGGACTTTTAGCCTCTCTTAAGCTAACAACCTTATCCGTGATCTTTGTTGTGTAAACAAGACAAACAATTAAATATACTTCCTTATTTAACCAGCAAGTTCAAAATCAAAAGCATGTACTGTACATCAGTTCATGCTTTTCATCCTATCAGTCATATTATAACAAAACACTACTATTAAAAAAACCACGATACATATGCATGGGTCTAGTTTAGTTTAATTAATTTATTATGCACCCCATACCCATCTCGTGGGCATGGGTGTAGCAACATTTTGAATACAGTAATGTGTAGGAATTCAATGTTCAAACTTTGATTTGTATCATCCAAGATAAAAAAATATTGACATATTTCCATGTGACAGATATGCTAAACATGACATGGATAAATAGGGTATTCAAACCGTCTCAAGGGCTTCATTTGTCTGAAACTAACAAGACAGCCACATGCTTCCAACATATTTGTCTAGTACTGTACTGTACTGTACCTAGATTACACATTTGTTATCACTACATCAAATATAATATTAACATAGAATCACATACTGCTGGCTATTCTACAATTAAATAAAAATACTGTACATTTTTAAATACATAATCAGGCTGGCAATCTAAACAAAACACGAATTATCACTTTTATTTATCTCAAATATATATTTTTACTCGTTTTATTACATTGTTAATTTTATACGAAAGGCCAATACTTGCCTTTTCTTAGACACACAGAGCTGTTCACCCTTATAAGGTTCATACTTCACCTAAAGCCCCCCTCTCACTAATCTAGATACACCCACTTATCTGGAAGACAACTTGACCAACTCCTATCAATCACCCTACAGCATGCATCACCAATCACCCTACAGCATGCATCACCAATCACCCTACAGCATGCATCACCAATCACCCCACAGCATGCATCACCAATCACACTACAATACGTATCGTTAATCACCCTACAGCACACATCATCAATCATCCTACAGCATGCATCATCAATCACCCTACAGCATGCATCATCAATCACCCTACAGCATGTATCCATCAATCACCCTACAGCATGCATCACCAATCACCCTACAGCATGCATCACCAATCATCCTACAGCATACATCATCAATCACACTACAGCACGCATCCATCAATCATTCTACAGTACGTATCATTAATCCCCCTACAGCATGCATCATCAATCCCCCCTACAGCATGCACCATGTACTGCATAACACCACTCACATCATAGCAAAGCATGATGTAACATCACATTCAAAAGCTTGAAAATAAAGTACTTACCAATTAAAACAGAGAGAAAGAACATGGGTAGTGGTATATTAATATAGGGGGCCGTCACATTAAGAAACCAATTAGGCGTCATGGGGAACACTCGCAAGCTGATCAAGAAGAGAAACAGCCGATGTTTATTCTCCAGCAACTGCCAAAGGAGACAAAACAAAAGATCTCAGAACATATTAAGGTATTATTATTGACATTCAATGATGCAGTTAATTGGGCAAAAAAAAAAAAAGGGGGAAATCATAAATATTCTGTCAAAATTACATAAAATGCTGACATATAGAGCAGGAAAGGGTCATAAAAAGAATTGTGAAATGCTTCATAAGGAAATACTGTGGCTATATTTTATATTATTGTTTATAACTGTATGCTTGATTACCGCTTACACATTAAAAATAAAGTGGCCAAATATAGTAGAAGTAAGTAAAATGCAACAATTGCCATTTGCATTACTTACTATAACATCAAGACTATTTATTTTATTCAAATGATGAGTCACAATAATGTGGCTGAAGATATGATGACCAAACCACACATCAGAAAATGAAAAAACAATGACATTTCGGTCTGTCATTGCCACTACCAACACTAGTAACACTGCCTTCCCTTCATATCTGAACTAAAAAATCTAACTAATACACATTGTCCTTGAGGTAAAACTCGTCTTTCCACAAACTAACATTCTTCACAGTACTTTGGTTAACACTGATTCTCCTGCTTCCAATGCTACTGTTGCCTACTCTATTGCCTGTTCATCTTGTCCTCTCCAATACTTTGGTGCAACTGGCTGTACACTGAAAGACAGACTTAAAGAACACAAAAGTGTTAACTCTGCTGACACAAACAATGCTCAATTTTGTCCCATTAGAAACTCTAATCATCCTATAGATTAGTCTTCCAAAATAATCTCTACCTGCCTCTACCCTTCAGAGACGGCGTCTTTTCGAATCAGTTCCGATACACAACATGCCCAGCATGAACCTTAGTCCTGGCTTTGTTGCTGTTGACTCTTCTCTTTTACAGTACATACTTAAATACTGTACTCTAACCTTCTTAACAAACATGATCTGACTGATCCAGGACAGACCGAAGAGTCGTCGTTTCTTCATTTTCTGATGTGTAGTTTGGTCATCATTTATTTTATTTATAAACAAGAAGGTACAATGGGTTGTGAACATACACAGGTTGGTGATCAGGTGGTACATCCTTGCAAAGCCTTGTATCTCGCTAGGAGGGACCTTGATAAGCCTAACAACCTTCCCATTCACACAGAAATCCCACTAACGTGTTATATATAATATCAAAGAGAAAATACATCAGGGCTGAGAGGTGGCACGAACCTATGACCCCGTTGTTTATTAATACAGAGAGAGTTGCTGGGGAATTAGAGAAAGTTTTTGAATGAAATCTGCAGCTGGCAATTAGGAAGACGCGGTATCACCCCCACAAGCCCCGGCATTGCCAGTCTAGTAGAGGTAGACCTCTGACATTGCCATAGGTAGACATTACCAGGAAAAGTACGCAACTGGCTATACCGGGGTCGTAGGTTCACGCCACCTCACAGCCCTGATGGATATTCTCAACCTTCCTATTGTTAACAATTCTTTACTTCCAGCTAAGTAAAACAAGAACATTTCTCTCTACAATTTGAAAACAAAATACAAATCTTATAAATTTGTTAAAGATTTTGTTTTGAACAGACGAAAATCTGTACTGAAAAGCTCATTTCAGACAGGCAAGTAAAATGGTCAGAGTAATGTATTAGAAAACGTTATTCACCACAAAGGTAATGTCGATGTTTGGAAGACATAACCCAGCATCCACTCTGTACTTAATACTGTACTTACATAATAAAATGGAATAATATAAACATTAGTTTAAATAATATATGAATTATGGTGGTATAAGCTGTGATAATGGCTACAATAAAGAATGAGGCAAATAAAGGCTTTAGATCTGTTTCAAGTAAATATAGAGCAAAATTAACGTTAAGTAGTGGTTAATGGTTTGTTTTACAGAATACACATAAATATATCACCTTTCCCTGAAGCATTTCAATCTTGGTAGCAAACATCTTTTGAATGATTGCTTTTCCCACAAGGCGAGACAGCAGGAAGCAGTTGGATGCACCAATAGCTGTCAGGACACAGCACAGTGGAAATCCTAAAGGCCAGCACCCAAGCACGGCTCCACAAAATAAGTTCTGTAAAAACTAAATGGGTCAAACAAAAAAAAAAATAATTTAATGTTAATGCAAAAATAGATACAGTACAGCTGAATGTGTGTGGATTTCAGATACTATGACAAAACATTTTAACAGTGAAATTGAAAATAATAATGTTTCCTGTTAAAATTTTATTATTTATACTGTACAACAAAACAGCACACACTCAATTTTAATACTTGTCAACTGTCGGTTTTACACTAAATCACAAGTTGTCAACCAGAACACAGATCTCCCAAAAACAAAGACACTGGAGGACTACACAAGTCAGGTTGTGGAAGCTTTGTGGATTAATGGAAGACCAAACAACAGAGGCTGAAAGTATTACAAGAGGTGCCCCACACCAAACCCTCATCATAGTTAGATCATGGGTTTTTTTAAATAAAATGAAAACCACTAAAGCCTTGGCTCACAATGCTCATATTTGGCTGTATTCAAGCAACAATTTAATCTGCAAAAGTTATTTCTCATTACAGTATACAACAAGCTTAAAAGTAGTATGATATAAAAAGGACTAAACTCCAAGTAGGAGTTGGCACAATTCAAAACTTATCAGGCTTACATAAGAAGATAATATTTAATGTGGGGTAGCCAGTGACAATAAATAATTGTTTAATCCCAAATATATATACCATTTCATGTTATTCTCTTTCCAGCTTCACCTGACACATTCAAATAGAGCACATGCAACACACGATATATTTACTGATGAATGAGTAAGTCTTCCACAGTCAGGGAAACAGTATCACTGTCTACTTTATTATTTTCCACTGAATATAAATTGTTGCATTGAGTTCTGCTTGAAAGTTTTGACATATGGCAACCTAACAAAAATGGCAAATTTATAGCCAAAGGCTACAAAATGTAATATGAACCAACTTGATTTGTGCAAAACTGTGATTTCCAGAGAGCCAAACATGTTTCATAGGTAAACCATAACAGCTCTTCCCTAAGTGTAACTGGATTATCACTACAATAATGACCAATGCATGCATTTGCCTACCGATTAAAACGTCTGTGATATTAGAAATGCAAAAAGGTAGATAGGCTACATACCAAGAGTGCAGAGCCAGGGATAGCAAAGGTCTGCTTATAGATGTAAGCTGCTGAGAATAACAGAAGAACATAATACCAGTGGTCCTGTTTGTAAACACTTGATGCACGCACAAGCTCTTTTAAGTCTTCAAGAGACTTTGGAAAATGAAGATCCTAGAATAAAAGAAGCATAAAAAAATATATAAACTGTAAGTACAGTGATAAAATTTGAATTTCTGCAGCATTAGGATAATTTGGCAAAATGTCGAAAACTATACTATTTTTATCATAAAACATGCAAAAGTTAATATTCTGTGTTTACCTATGTATTTTGGGTCAGCACTATATTGTACAGTTAGAAATCAAGTATGGTAATAAAGCAATCATATACTGTAATGCAAAACATTCATCACAAGCAGCATTCCAGAGCAAGAGATGAGGACCATGGTAAATAATTAACATTACCCCTTTAAAAATTGGCTGATATAATGAACATTAATTAGTTTTAATCCTAAATGACAAGTCTCCAATTTTCAGCCTAATCTAACCTAGAAGTCAAGTTATGGTAAAGGTTATTATATGCTTAATGAATCCTATAAAAATCAGGGAAGCTATAAAAAATATATTTTCCTTTACTTAGCGCAGATGATTGCATTTTAACTTTCATGTACTGTAAAACATAATTATTTAATTAAAAGCCCCGGTAACACTTTATTGATTTGTCTAACACAGCTTCACAGGCCTTTAACTTTTTTTGTAACCTATCGAGTCATATAATACAAAGTAACATCAACATAACATTCAGAATTTAAAGTCAATGGACATTATTATAATCTACAGGTACATTCTTTGGAATTTGCTAGCCAGAATATCCGGGAGGCAGCAACGAGGAAGTTTTGAGAACATGTGTTAATGCACATTACAATAATCACTGCACCTGGAGACAAAACTCTGAGATTTATAAAAGCATGGGATGCTACTTGAAGCTTGACCACATGACATGTTGGATTGAGACAGCAATCCTAGTCAATTGTGGAAGGGAAAAATGCTACAGCCAATAGGCTTGTGATGTTTGTTCAGTATGGAGTGCTATGACTGGCTAAGGTGAATAAAGAATTTCATTCTGGTTCTAGCAGTGAAGCAACGAACTTGTGTCAGGAGTTATGTTGAGACTTGTGAGTGTCCTGTTTGCCAACAGATGCCTTTTTTAACCAAGTGGTGGATCAGAATTATACAGGGAGCCAGAATCAGAAGTGAAGCGTTGTGAAAGTGAGATATAACTGATCAATAAGACAGCTAAATGTTAGCCCAAGTGTATCTACATTGAGAGCAACAAAATGTCCAACAACACAAGAGGAGTACAACTAAGTTAAGAGATTAAGTGCCAGAAGCTAATTGTTGGATATTGTGATGCAAATTTGTATCCGGGAAGAAACCCACCTGGCAAATTCAGCTTATTTTGCAGTCTTTATACCAATCAATGTAAAATTAAATATTCAATCAATAGGTGTGTTCATGAACTTCAACAACTTTAAAGTGGATTTCTGTGCCAAGAAGTTTACCATTAAGTTTGCAATATGGGAGATTACAACTGCTTAAAAGATGTAGCCCATCATCATACAATGATCCTGGCAGAAAATAAGGCTAATAACCATGTTCACACCAAAGCTTTAAGAATATGTCGAGGGATTTAATGTGAGGCACTATTACAGTATTCTTTAAACTTAGGATCATACCCCATTACCAAGTCATGGGACTTTTATAGTATTCATTGTGTCGCCACTAGGATTAAAAATATAATCGCCTAGTCGCCACCAGGAAATATGATGGAAACTCACTGCACCAAGTACAAGCTAGGTGAAATAAATATACACCATATGAAGAGTTAGGTGAAAGTTGCTTTTGCTTTTCATAATACAATATTGAAATTATAATCAAGCTGAACTTTATGCCTGAGCAAAAAAAGGGGCTGCTGCCACTCACCTGTAATATAACACTGAAAAATCATCACTGCTACTAATTAGGACCTTTGTTTTTTGTTGTTGTTCCCGTTTACAACAACCTACATGTGACGCGAGATTTTTGACTCTGAAATAGTTAAAAAGGAAGAATAGAATACTGTATCTGCCGTCATTAATTTTATGAAAACTTGGGCCATAATTTAGTTTTCTTTGGGCTTAGTAAAAAAATATCTTGCATATACAGTACTGGGTCAGAAAAAAATTAAAAACTGTCAGAAATCAAAGGATATCATGAAGATGTATGACAACGTGTGACTGGATAAGGATGCCAAAATAGTTGTGGTGGCAGGAAGTTGAAACTGATCTTTCCACCACATAGCTCTTTGCTCTTAATGAAATTGTGAAGATTGTAAACAGCCCTGGTGCCAAATCTGAGGACGACAGTTACAGTGCCGCTTATCATGAAGATAAACGATGCCTCCAAAGAATTCTTCAATAATTTGTTTGATTGGTTGGCAATGTTGAAGTTCTCATTGGCAGTCTTCGTACCTCCACCAACACAGCCTCCTCAAGTCCACCATCAACACACAAACTAATGTACTTGTTTTATGCATTATTATGTGCTTTAAATGTAACTGTTAAGGTAAAACTGTCTATTCCTTATTTAAATACATAATGTTTAGTAGTTGTTCAATACTGCACATACTGTAGTTGTTACAGTATATACTTCTTGGGTGAAGAAACCTCAACTATCTGCCAAAGTACTATCTTACATGATGACCAAACTACGCATCAGAAGTTGAAGAGACAACATTTCAGTCCATTCTGAAAAATCTTTATTCATGAACCAATCTTTATTCTGAACCATTATCAAGTTGTGTTAGGGAGAGAGGAAGGAATGGGCAAATAAATAAGGAAAGAGTGAGGTGAGGCGCAGGCGAGAGAAGGTAATATCTAGAAGGTAAATCCCGTTCCTTCTCGTTTCCCTAACACACAACATGATAATGGTCCAGGGTGGACCGAAACATCGTTGTCTCTTCATCTTTTGAAGTGTGGTTTGGTCATCATATCTTGTTATTGTGACTCATCATCTACTACGTCACATAATTCCCCAGCATAACAAAGGAAACTGCCTCTTCCTTCTTACCTTCGTTGCTCATCACTCTGCATGCAGTGTATTACGACCGTATAGAGTTCAACCAAGACGAATGTTTGGACACCACCACCAGTACACCCTCCACCCACCCCGAGCCCCAGGCAGGTGTGCAGCTGCAAGACCTGATGGTTTCTTATTACATCTAAGAACCGCCTGTTACACTGCCGGCTCCTCGTTCAAAGCCTCAGTGACAAAGGATGTAATGTCACCATCAGGGTTATAAATACCAATGGCCTTGGTCACCTCGGCAGTCTCTCTCATCAGGTGCTCAGGGAATCAACACTACAGCCTCCGCACGCGCTTGCCTCCCACTTCTTCGTGTGCAGGTTTTAAGCGCTTTAATGTAAATACTTTGTGTCATCCTTATTTTTGTGTTAAAGTAAGTTTATTCATGTGTTATTATTTCTCTTGTGTGCTACCCAAGTGTTTTCAATCAGGGGTTTTAGGTATTTTTCATATGTTATTTGTTCATTTTGATATTAGATTAAATTGTCTTAAGTTTTTGTCTGAGTATTCTTTCACTCCTGTGCAATTTTCACATTGCAAAGGCCAATGCGGTCATATTTTTCTTACTGTGAAGTGCCTGCCACATTGCATCTGCCCAGTATAGCTGCACTACTGAGTCATGTCACAACTATCTTACACATTGCCAGGAATGTGCATTTCCAAACACCGTATTAATATATTCACAGGGTGAAATATTCAGAATGCTTGTTTGTGCTACTTAAGACAATATTTCAGCTTAATAATTAAATTAGTATTGATAGGACAATATTATGCAAAGTAAATTCTTATTGATTTGGTAAATAACTAGGTCAACTCTTGACCTAAGTAAAGGAGTACAATAGTTTTATTTAAATAAAACACATTCAGATTCCTAACCATTACTTGTCTTCAAATAACCACAGTATCAGTTATTGCCACTCAAATGAATAAAGATGACAAGTTCATTTTAAAATAACCTTGCACATAACTTTAGCCCCTATAGATTAGATTTACTTGAAGTTGGGAAATTCAATTTTTTTGTGATCTAAAACTAACCTCTGTAAAAATTTATCAGCACAACTGGAAATGTCATTTACTGCCTCATTCCCTTGTCCTGGAATGCCCCACTATGTGGATAAAGCAAAACATATCAGGACTTCCTATGTCCATTATAACACTGCTAAATACTGCATAAGCAACAAAACAACATACTTTGATAAAAAAATATACTGTACTGTATATGCAACATGAATAAGATACAGTATTAATAAAATAACATTCTATACATATGCCATTATGATCTCAGTACATACCGGGCTGACTCCATCCTTTAAAGCTGGCCTGTTGATAAAGAGAAACCAGAGGAAAAAAGAAGAAACAGCAAATGCTGCTGGAGCAATCAACAGCCTTACGTAATCTCTTCGCTGAACGCTTCCCATCGTGACTATAAACAAAATAGTTTTAAGGCATTACATAATAGGAAATTACTTACATAATATCCAGATAAACCTTTACAGGAGATTATCTTAATATTATTCTCAGGCAACAAAAATCTAGGAAATCAAGCTTAAATTATCAAAAGAAGTTAGTGATTATTAAAAAAATTTAAAATAGCTTTTATTATTTTAATGATACACCAAAGTATGGTCACTGTATAAGTGGCAAAGTTTCACTGCTTGAAGTTTAGGAAACTGCAATAGCAATGCTTCTGTCATCTACATAAATTAAACATATACTGTATGTATGAAAAATTAAACACCTTGCTAACATCTGCGTGTGTGTTGTTTTCAGGCCATATCTTTTCCACTTGTTTGGGAGGGTGCAGGCAATAAGATATTAGTCTACTAATTTGATTTTGTATTAATTAATAATGTACAGCATTTTAAATTTTGTAAACCAAGTCAATTATAAATATAAAACCACTCATAAATGAAGTTTTTGAATTTAAATTGATGTTGCAGTCACTTATGATATAATGAGGGTTCAATGGGGCTTAAGAATATTTCTGTTGGTCATTCTAGGCTGGATTGAGCATTTCACAAGTGCCTCCCTAGAGCCTCTATGACCACTACAGGAATGTGAATAAAGAGACTTCTATAGTGCCAGTGCCCCAATGCTGTCCAACCTGACAACACAAATTTGGTCAATTGACTCGACAGATCCTTACCAGTGGGATCAACTGACTTATTTTTGGGGGGGTTTTTGTACTAAATTTATAAAATATTACTCTTGAAATATTTATTATTAGAATTCAATTTTTTTTTAAGATACCGTATAGTACAAAAAGTTATATAATATTTACATTTGGTCTACCCCCAATTCATATACTATACCTTCTATTATTTGATACTTCCTAAAACTGTTTATTTGCATACAAGTGATATGAGGAAATAACATAAACTACCCATGAATCTTCTTAATCTTAAAGAGTTGTTGTTGATGATTTAGGAGTGGGGAAGAAATGGTCAGTGGACTTCACTAAGGTGAACGTTATCGCCTCCACTCACCTTCCTGCCCAGTCTCTCACCATTAACTTTGAAGTCTATCAAGTTTTTGGATTATTACGAAGCTGATAAAGCGGTAGGTGTGGAGAGGCAAGAGAAGGTTTATAAAATATACAAGTACTGTAGAGAGGAGTCGGGGGAACCACCTGACCGCACTCGCCACCAGCTGGAAGGATCCACGGCCTCGATCAGCTGACTCAGGTAAACAAACATCAGTTCACCTTCTTAAACCCCATTTTTTAAAATATTAAGAACGTGGAGTGTATACTCGACAAAAGTCCTGGGCAGGTAGTGGGACAAATTTTAGTATAATTGTTCCTTAGAGTGAAAAATTGAAAATAAGTGTTTATATTGGAACTTAGTTTGATATTCCCGCCTGGAGACTTGTCCAGAGGTGGCCAATGGGGAAGGTGGAGGGGAAGAGGGCGTCGTGTGACTGGCCAGCCGTCCTCCCACTTGGCCAATCGGCGGCGGGCGGCTCGTTACGTCACCCAGAGGAAGTGGGTTGGAACTATGGACGACCTTCTGACAGGAGGTAATTGTGGTTGGCATATATCTCTTGTTAGTTAAGGATACACTAAACGTTGGTGCTCGAGGAGGACCTGGCTGCGTATTATGCCTTCGCTAGAGGCTGGAGTGTTGGGAGAAGCGCCGTGCATGGCACGGGGGCTTCCCTGAGTCGACTGTGGGAGTATTTGTGGTGCAGTGCCTGGCACTACCAGTGCCAGAACTTGGCCAGTGCTTGTAGCAGCGAGCCATTGTCAGGTGTGGTGTTAACCACAGCACGTGTGCGAGGCTTGGCGTCATCTGTGCCTCGGGCACGAGTGTGTATAGCGTGCGGTGTGAAGTCCTTGGAAGATGGTGTACCTAAAGGCCTAAGCCAGGTTTGGTGCTTTGAAAATGTTCACCTGAGTTTACCTGTGAGTCACTAATACTAGTGGCCTTGACGAGGACAGGAAGCCGGCGGCTTGTTGAAGGCCCCCCCCCCCTCCCCATTTGCCTTGAGTGTTTGATTTTGCCCAGTACTGTACGTTGTTTTCTATAAATTGCCTCCAGAGTAATTTTTATAAAAGTAAAAGTGCACAAATACATACTGTACCCACATATGAGTATAATAATTATTATTTCACATGTATTTTTAACAAGCTGCTCTTGGTGTTGGGACATATTATGCTTCCTAGCTAGCTAATCAGAGTTATCTAGACTTTCTAAAACTGTTTTGGTCAGGTTCGCGTAGGTTAGAGTGGCTAGTTTACGGTATAGTTGGAAATGAGGCAACTTATTCTAAAACCTGAAAATAGGTACCATACTCAAGTGTGTATTTTGAGGAGACTATATTATAATTTTGTACACGTGCATTTTAAATAGTTTTGATAAATACAAAACTATTAATCTATTTTCTAATTTCTGTACACCTGCACCATATAATGATATTGTTTTAATGCATATTGTGCATTGTTTTTAAAACCCAGGAGGCCAAGTAAATAATTATCAAAAGGCACCCAACTGGGAAGGCTATGTAGCACTACCAAATGTGTGGAGTAATCAGAGGATGCTAAATATCACCAAGGATGCCAATACGAGAACAGAAACGCATAAGGCAAACAATATCAAAAGTATCTGTTTCACCAAGAATTCTACCGAGGGACAATTGACCGCGAGGGACAGTCGGAAAGCAAGACACACGCTCGTCCCGGAAGTCAGGACATTCAACAAAAATGTGCACGACCGTAAGTGGAACAATGCAATTTGGACTATAAGGAGCAGGGCGGCGCTCCATTGACTGTGAGTTAAACGTGGATGGCCAATACGCAACCTAGCCAGAGCCGTTTCCCACTGCCGGTTACGGTGGTAGGAGGAAGGCCACAGGGACACAAGACTCTTAAGAGTACGCAGTTTGTTACCAGTAACAGAAAACCAACAACTCTGCGAACAGGCAAGAATGGAGGAATGAATAACTGGGTAAAAGTCAGAATAAGGAATACCTTTACAGGAGATGAGACACGTGCAGATAGCTTCCTTAGCGGCAGCATCCACACCCTGTAGGCCAAGCATGCTGTGAAGAGAGGCGCGTGTCTGGTGAGCGGCTGTGTGCGCAAGCCTGTGTTCTGGGGGCGCTGCAGACCATCTGGGGATGAAAACATAGCTTAGTTGAAACATACATATTTGTCGATTACATTCTCCTTAAAGTTTTATTTAGTTTTCATCTTGAAAAGTAAAAAAAAAAAAAAAAAAAAAACTTCCATGCATTCTTTTTCATAATTATCTTAAATTTCTTCCCTAGAAATATTCAATTTGGTGAAAAGTTTTCACCTTGGTTTCTAATGACTATGTATTTAAGCCATTCTCGTTTTGTAGATATTCGACCAGTAAGACGGGCTCCTCCTCCCCCAAAGTTTCGACCAATGGGGCCACAACCACGGTAAGTTTATGGTACAGTACATATATGTATTTTGAGTACGATACAGTATTTTTTTTTTTTTTTTTTTTACCATTAGAATAAGGAGCCTGATTCTTGCTACTGAATGTTAGAGATATACCACACATGAAGTATAAGTATTTCTCTGAATTGATTCATTATTTATTGTAGACAGTGCTGTAATCAAAGTCTTATGAATCATATGTATGCTATATATGGTAAGACTGATTATCTTATCCCAATGTTTTTTTGGTTTGTTAATCTTATGTCTGCTTATCTTTCATGGCCAGGCATGCTTCAAAGCTTGAACTGATTATTGCATATTGAGTTGACAAAGGGTGGAAAGACACCATTTTTAGATATGCTTTAAATTGTGGAAATAGAATATGTATATACATATATAATATACAATTTTAGTTTAATACAAACACCTGTATTTTTACTTCAATAGTTGAGAGGCAGTTGCAAGCCTTCTCTTTTAGCCTACAAAGAGTAAATGAACAAGCTATAGCATTTAAACATGGCAATAATAATTTTCTGAAAGCTTTGGTCTTCTCATGCACCGAAAGTGGTAGTACAGTACCATCTTTGCCTTCTCGGTCCATATTAAGTTTGGGGATTATACTGATGAACAATACCGAAGGACCTTATTCATATTTTCTGATTTATGTTTACATGTCTTTCTAAGAATTTATATGTGGTGAGTTTCTTTATATTTTCATAACTAATTCATGATTAGTGGTTGTAGACACAAGTTCATTACTTGCCTCTCTGCAACTGATGGGAGATGTTTTAAGGCTCTCAGCATGAGCATTTGCAGCAGTAATCAAAGTTGATAAAAATCCATCTATTTACATTTTAAATAATTTTATTAAAAATATCATCAGCTGGTATTAATTTTTTTGGCTTTATGAAAAACATTTATAATTACTTTAAGACATTTCCTCAAATTTAGGTACAGTGTACTGTACCTCATTTTCTTGTATTCTTCTTTATACTGCATTATAAATACTATTTTATTCTTTATGCATCTACAATGTGTGTGATATTGGTCTCAAACAGGATTATTGCTAAGTAAGGCAAATTTCTTAAAACAACATAAGTGATAGGTTAAAAGGCAATAATGCACGAATATGATGTAAATATTGGTAAATCTTTGCTAGTATAGACTATGTGTATAACCTAACCATCGATAACATACCTCGGTCAAAGTAGGCCTAGATTAATTTGTGTTACATATAGCAAAAAATCTTGCAGTATGAATGTCATTTTTTTTTTAATTACTGTACACAGTGAACACCCAACTAGCTGAACATTGATGGGATGGATTGCTGGGTCTAATGGACAAAATGATCTGATAATGTTCACTCGTTTACAATGATATTTATCTGGGTTTACAATGGAGATAATAAATCAGATGAACTAGTATCAAATTGGAAAATATGGATTGTCTTCTCAAATTTGCTTCTATAACTGATGATAAATTGGCAGGTCTTTTATCTGCACTTTAGGCTGATCTAACAAGTTAGAGGAGCCTCAGATTAACGATTTTAATCCGTTCCGGCACTGAGCTCGTCATGTGAAACGCTCGTCATGTGAAACGCTCGTCTTACGAAATGAATTTCCCAATTTAAAATAACGGAAATAAAATTAATCCGTTCCATCCTCAAAAAACATCAATATGAAATTTTATAATGTAAATTATAATACATATAATTATTGTAAATGATTTGTTTTACTGTTTTCAATTGTACTTTACCTTATGAAGTAGTTGCTGGCTTGGGGGAGACGATGGGGAGGAGGAGAGAGGTTATGGTGTGGAAGGAGACTCCACCTCTGAGTCAGGCGATTTCCTTCTTCAAATCTACAGTAATTGTCTTTCTTCTTCTTCTTGACAACACTATCTTTAGCAAGCAGCTTCTTTGGCGACATCGTGGGTCACAAATTGTAGTCACAAAACCACAAAAAAAAATGCAGGGGAAGCTTGTCCTGTGCAATAAAACACTGTCGTCGGAGGCTTCTGAGAAGTTGCGAGAACCAGCAGGAACGCTAGAGCACCACGTGGTTTTCTCGTTGATCGAGCGGGAGCTTGTCATTAGACAAATTTTCTGAGAGTGGCTCGCTCATTACCTGAAATGCTTGTTGATGGGGCTCCTCGTCACACGAGATTCTTTTGTATTTGTAGTTACGTCAATAATGACAGGAAGCAAAGTTTCTCTGGCTTTCATTTGGACTAAAAATACAGACCCTTCAACCAGCTATAGTTCATATGCAGTAATTTTTCAAATAAACGTATTGTTCAGGTACTAGTGTAAGTAGACCTAATCCAAATTTTGCATAAAAGGGTGAAGAGGGAACGTGTGTAACTCGGCCAGGGTAAGTTAAAATTGTTCTCGGTTACAACACTTGGTTGGTCCCTAAGGTAAGATTCTACTGGTTCTGCAGAGTTGTAGATCTAGAACAGTTGGAGCAGGTCGTCTTTTGTACTGGCTCAGTAAGGGTCTTTTGAAAACTTCTGAGACCTGTTGCAGAGTTGTGGTAGAAACTGCAAGGGCAGGAAGTGACTGACGGCCAACGAGCCACATACTCTACACCTCAACCCTTGTAGAAAATTATCTGGAATGGAGAGTAAGTAGGTATGGGGATATACATGAAGCGGCTAGGAAATGCTGGCCTTGGCACCGTGTACAGTACTAAGACCAACATTGTGTACTAAGTGCATAAGACTGAAACTGGGAATTTGCTGTTAACAGATTGTGGTTTCTGGGGGTCATAATAACTGACATGGTAGTGGGGGACAAGGACTGGGTTTGCCAACAGTTCTTGCAATGACGAAGGTTGCCTGGAGGGTCTTGCTGATTATTTGAATAGACCATTAGGTCGTCATTCCATGCTTAGCAAGTTTTCTCCTGTCTCCATAGCACTAGTGTTATCTGGTGGGGCATTTTGAAATGGATTTCTGCTGTGCTGATGCAGAGTATCAACCTGTCCTGACTGTTTTTGATCTAATAGTCCATGGGGAGAATTGAATCGTGCCTTACGGACCAAGAGTGCTTTGCTTGGAAAGGAACTTTTCATATTCACTCAAAGCCCGATTTTTAAGTCTAATTTCTCTCTGATTTTGGTACTGATTTAGGCCTGTTCAAAGATATATATTCTGTTCTAATAAATGCAGTTAACCGTGTTATAAAATTACAACACTAGAAATTCTCACCGAATCGAAATGCCTGCTTGAACAGCAAGATCCAGCCCCAAGTCGGCCTAGGTAATTGGGTGATCACTTTGTGGTGTATTTGTGACATTTGCATATTGAATTTATTAGCCAAATAATGCAGTCTGCTACCATGATATGACAAAGGTAATGTTTGTAATTGTAGGTTAAGTATAGAATAGGAAAACAAATTGGAGACTTGTGTGAAAAATTTAAGATAATACCACCCGTATGAATGTTGTGGCAAATGTAACATTGAGTTTGTAAAAGTTTAGTTTGTATAATAGGTATGTTTATACAGGAATGATGATCTGCTAGTCATACAAACTGAGGGAGAAGAGATACCTCGACCAGTCCCTAGAGCATCAAGACTATCATCTCGGAGAACTAACCAGAATGGCCTATCAAGATCAGCTTCACTACCTCTTGCCAATAGTATGCTGAAGAAGGTGCCACCACCAAGACCACCTCCACCGAAATTTAATCCTTCACAGGTTAGTCCCAAGTATTGTACCATACATGTACAGTATTTTAGTAGAGTACTGTATTGTAAGAATTTCAACTCGAGCAGAACTGACTCCAAAATGTTACATTTAAATGGTCGTTTGTACTGTACTATATACAGCAGAGTATACAGCCAGTGCTTGATACTGGTACAGTACCCACTGTTACAATCTAACAAAATCTTGTTCTCCATTAAGTCTTCAATGCCATGGTCCATATGCAAATGCTGCTTTGCTGGGTCTATACATGGTTAAGTGTTGATCTTGAATGTTGAGCTGTATCAATTCCATTATTGATGACTAAAATTCATTCACATTGGAGCATCCATCCAACTTGGTATACAACCTCAGTAGGCATATGATCAATGATTCATTCAAAAAAAAAATATATTGTATGGCAAAGTATGATGTGTGGTGATGCAAGTTGCCATTAATCCAAGTAAAAAGTACATACCCCCATGGAATGTGCCTCTTGGAATGTATTTGAATGTAATAATGTTTATGAAATTATCAAAACTGAAGGAAAAATGAAGCTTAAACAGTATATATTACTAGAATAAACTTATAAAATATTCCATCACTCTTTGATTTGCAGAAGTCTTGAGATTATCTTAGAACTATAAATTTCCCTTCCAATGTTAAGTATTGGCATTGAAGTATGTCTGTTTATAGTACAGTACTCATATTGAAGTATTAATTTCAGCATCGGTTAAAATATTGGTATTTGCACACCTCTAATCGAAACAAGCACACACAATGCACATGCTTTTAAAATACCTGGATTACTTTTTATTACACACTTTGTATGCCACAAAGGGATGTTAATCTCTTGTCTGAACGCATGACAAGAGGATGGACTACCATAGTATTAATGCCATATGTAGCTGACCAGTAAAATATATTTGGCAATACTGCACTGTACAGTGCTATGATTGTTACTGACCTATTGCACTTATAAAAAAAAATTAGGCAATACAAAGTTGCTCATGTGTTTTATGTAGCTGGTTTATCTATAATTAGAAAAATACAAAATGTTACTGACTAAATATTTTAGTGGTAGTTGTGTGACGATTTGAAGGACTCATTTTATTAATGTCCATCACTGATGTGTGTATCATTAAAACTGCACATTCCACTTACTCGTCATGTATGTGACAGGTTCCACTAACTGTAGTTCAGAATTTAATGATGGAATCATTATTATTGCATGAGAACTAAAGTTTGTAAATGCAGTTATCATTGGTAATGTGATTGTGTATGGCTCACAAGACACAAATTATTTTTGTTCTTAGCAGTAACATGCTTCACTTGTCTCCTGCAGCCCACCCTGGAAAAACCACACCCAATTTTTCACAGATTGCATAAGTTGTCAGTTAGAAAGGTCAGTAGTTGTTCTTGGAAGTGGTATGAGTTCTCTTCTTGCTTGGAATTATCTTAAGTAGCAAATGATTAGGATACATTTCTTTACACTATGGAAGTGCAAGTTAGCGTGACTAAAACTTTTGATGGTGTATAGAAGGTGGGTATTATTCTCTTGCCTGCTTAAAACTTTCAGATCTTAGTTTTTTCTTCTTATATGATCTGAATGCTTTCACCAGATGTCTATTTTGAGAAAATGTGCCGACACACTGCTTGAATTTTCTTTTGTGTGATATGCATCGTCAATTGAATAATTTTGAGTTGTTAATCTGATTGTCTTACCCACCCCTTTGATGCCTGATCAGTTTGGAAGATATTCAGCTTGGCAAATTCCATGACAAATTTCCCTGTTACTTAGCAACATCTTTAGCTGCATCTTGAAGTATTGGAACTAAATTTACTTGTTGCAACATTATAGTGAATATGTAATATGTGGCTATTGCTATCAAGATAGTATGTTGAAATGATAGATAAGAGGTTCTTGACTTAGGTAACTGAAATTTCCTATGCTTTTTGAATCTCTTATATATGGCCCATTTTTTCTTTCTTTTAGATAAATGGACTTCTTTAGACAGCCCTCATCATAATGAGCAAGTTAACTTATGGTACTAAACTTGATAATCATTCAAGCTGCTGTGCAATAAATCTCCATAAACTGAGTTTCTTAACTAGTAGTAGTAAACTTTGTATTGAATTACAGTACCTTGTTTTTTATCTGTGAAGGTATTAAAAATGTAAACATTTTATATTTGAATTTAAAAAAGGTGGAGACACATTATTTAAGATAATCATTTATTTATTGTAAAAAAGCAAATGTTGAGACTTGTGTATCTTTCTTTCATATACAGAAGGGCCATCATCAGCTAGAACATAATGGTACATCAAAGAGCAGCAGTATTGTGGGTGGGATGTTTGGCAAGCTTCGTGGTCCCCCACCATCCCGGCCCAGACATTCACCAGCACACGGCACCACGTCTGCTCCAAGCACACCTGTGTGTGAAGCTTCGTTAATCGATTTTTCATCCCCACCTAGCTCGCCCACGACAAGATCAGGCAGTGATGGCCTCAGTGTCAACAGCTTTGGTAGCGAATCTTCTACTGGGAATCAGAGCTTAGGCTTTGATGATATTTTTGATCCTTTTAGCTCTATTCAGGATGCCAGTACTTTTGTGCCACCAAGAAAAGTGGGTGGATCTTCATTTTTTTCTTATGCTCCTGCTGCTTGTACTGTATCGGAGACTAATGAGAACCAAGATCCTTTTGATATGTTGGCTCGTAGAGCAGATATGAACAGTATTCAGTTAAATAAACCTAAGAATCCTGCTGTGCCAATACAGAATTCTTCCCTTCCATCAACAATCTCTAGTACAATAACACAATCGGCTAATCAATTTAGCAGCAATAAACAAGAACAGAAAAACTTTAGGCCCACAATTATCCGTCCGAAGGCACCAGTGTCGAGTAGTTTGGTTGAGAGTGCAGGTGACAGTAACATTAACATGAACAACCATTATTTAGAGTTGGGAAGTGTTGACTGGAGTGTTGCAACAAAAGGCTCGAGTACAAGTGTTGTGAAGTCCTCCAGTGGGTGGGACACTGGCACTACTATTATCGATCAAACTATTCTAGAAGAACCCCCACCATTACCGCCACGTCCAGAAGCCGAGGTTAGTGAGAGCACTATATGAATGTTTATTGTATTTACACTTTGTAGAACTGTAAATACTAAATTAGAAATATTGACTGATTTGATAAAAGAAATATAACTTGTTTCCAAAAGCTATTGTATTAAATTTGTATCTTATAGGGTAAAGTAATGCTATCTAGCCACCGATGCTGAAAAACACACATTGCATCAATATAGAATGATACAATAGGAATGCCATGAACTCTTTGAATATACTCTAACACATTAAAACATGAGAGATAATATAAGAATATAGGACTACAGAATGCCTATAGGCCCATGCTAGTCAGAGGTTATTTATGCCCAACCAAACTTAATTCATATACACGTAACAATTAAATGTTGGTTATAATTGTGTTGATAGCATTGTTTCTTCCCTTTTTAGTGTTATTCAGGATGGCATAGTGTTAATATGACCAAAGACAGACACATCCTGCAGTGTGTCAGCGAAGACGGGCAGACAAAACACGTGCTCAACTTAAAATTGTTAATGATTCACTCTTGCAGTCATTCACAACTTTACAGAAAGTCATTTGTGGATACTGTATTTGCATTAATAAACTGTAATTCTTGCATATTCCATTTTATGGTAAGAATGTTTGCATGAGCTTGTTCTGCAAGCTACCAGATTTCATAAGGCCCCCATTTATATCATTATTTTCCATTCAACATCACATTCTGATTTTCCCCACAGATATCTAGTGTCTTCTTCTTTTCATCTTTATATGTGCCATTCTTTTGTTATATTAGGTAGTGGGTAGGATGAAGGCTACTTTGGCCTTTGGCACTTTCAAGGTGAAAGAAGTACTTTTCTCATTTACATATATTTGTATTACATGCAAGTGACACATGATGAAATTTGAGATAGCCAAGTTAATTTGCCAAAATGTATATAAATACTGTATATTGGATCAAACTAATTACTATGGAAAATGTCGCTGATAACTTTTGCTTTACAGAAAGATTGTTGTTGTTCCAAATCCTTAGGGGTTGATTTACTTCAATGCATGAAGATACTCAACAGTATACCATCATACTGTTCTGTATATGATGGGTGTAATTAATAAATCTGTCTTGCAGGATGAGGATGAAGATAGACCACACGGTATTGCAGAGTTTGACTTTGTTGCTAACCATTCTGGTGATCTGGATTTCAAGGTACAGTACTGTATAACTTCTGATTTCAAATTATACTATTTTCAATTAGTGTACAGTAGTTGTTTAAAATAGCATGAAAGTAATTTTTGTTTTTATAGTCCCATTACATTTATCATCATAATTCTTAATTTTATCCTTGATGGCTCATTTCCTCTGAAACCTACTTGAGGAAATGCCAGATACTAATAATTTTTGGATACATAAACACAAATGTAATGTTCCCTTGAAATAGCAAGCTTGTGTATGTGCAATACTTGTATATGTACATCATTTACCATAATGTTGGATTTTTTTTTTTTATGGTTCGAAAGCCATTTGGATTAGGCCTACAGAATCGTTTGAATTACTTTACTGTTTGCACGGGTCCAATCCCAGTAAGGTCCAATAGGCAGGAGTGCACTAGACGATATTTTGATGATACTAGTACATGTAGTTCAGTTTAAAGTTTGATGAATCAAAGATTGCTTTAGACACTCCAATGTAATTTTAAATGTGCACTGTACTTATGTATGTAATGGCCTGCCAGGTACATACAAAACAAGATGTGATTCTTGGTGCAGTATTATTAAGTATGAAATGTCATATTTGGTTTAGGACAAGCCTATTGTAAATTATTGTATAGCTAGGGTCATCCTAGCTATACAGTAAAATGTTATACCAAATTTAACACAAACATGCTAAAAATCACTGATAGTGGTTTTCACTCGCAAGGCAATAAAATTACATAAGGTGTAAATGGTAGTGTTCACTTCTATGTAAGCCATCAAACTTTTCTTTGCCATTTCATTATTAAGCTAGCTGAAAGTGGTGGCAGCACAAGTTGTCGCCTCTCCTTCATACTCGTTCAAACAAATGGCAGTAGTCACCAACTTTTCTGTACTAAAAAACCTGTTTACAGTGTTCCATTATACAGTATAACTAAAACATTAGTTTGATGATTTTTTTTTTTTACAATAAATGTAAAATTAAAGAAATGAATAGTTTGTATAATAATTTCTCAGCAAAACTATTAATGATCTCCAAAGTAAGATACCCAAGAAATGGATGGTTTTAACTAGCTGAACACAAACGTAACGCACGCCTAGCACCTTCTTTCTCTTTGGAAGGCCAAATGTTTGAGTGAATGTTAATAGCAGCCAAAGGGATAAAAACATTTTACTGTCTAGTATACAGTACTAGGCATGACTTAAAATTTTTTGAATATCTAAAACTATTTGGCCTTTCCCATGAGCTTCTACTTATAAATGGGAACATCATCAAAATATTGTTGCCTGAACTACTAAAAGCCTTACCATGATCAATGAACTTAACATGGCATAGTTTAACTCTTGTCAATAATCTTGTTACAATATTTTTTCATAATGAAAAGGAATTAGCTTCACACTTTGTTATGTTCAAGTGTTTGTAAATTATGCTACTTAAGTAATCGTTGAACTGTGATCTGTTCTTTTTGTGGATACAAATTTGATGGTATATTTTGTGCTTGAATGTGTTTGGGCCTGAAAGTTTGATACATTTAATAAACAATTACTAGTATACCTTTATATTGAATACACAGGTTGGTGATGTAATCCAGCTTCTCTACCGAATTAATGACGAGTGGCTCTTTGGGCGGTGTGGACTCAAAGAGGGCATGTTCCCACAGGCCTTTGTTAAGGTGAGACTGGTATTAAGTATCTTTGCTACTGCTGCTTGAAAAAATAAACCAGTTTAATTTCTTGTAATGTATCTTGATGTTTAAGACTATTATTTTTGTAATTAGTATTTTTTTCTTTTAGATAGTAGTACCTCTTGCTGGCGAACAGCCGCCAGCTGAGTTATCTAGTCAATCAACTTCTACAAGTGTGATAAATACAGGAAGCTCGATTCAGTCTGGTATCTCCAATGCTAGCAGTGGTTCCTCTCAAGTCGTTACAGCTGTGTATACTTTCCAGGCCGAGGCACCAGAGGACCTCACCATACATGTATGTATGCTTATTACCGTATTACTAATGACTTTCTTAATCATCTCGACATGTGCAGGAAGGTGCTAATAAAATTTTATGCTTGCCCTGTTAATTGTTTTAATACTTTTTGGCTAAATTTTGTGGTTGAATAATTATAACTACTTTGTTATTAATTTCATTGATAATTAAATGAGCTTTTTCAAGGTAACATTTGGTTAGAATAGATGACACTGAAGAAAATGTTTACTTGCTAGCATGCTTTAGCACTCCAAATTATATGTAACTTACCAGGTAGTAAGGCCAAGTTTCAAAACACTTTACTCTTGGTCTGTGTAGTAGATGTTTTTCTATAACTATTTCTAGCTTTTAATAGAATATGCACTGCTTTTGTTATTTGACCAAGCATTATTGTTATTTCAATACCAAAGTTCAGTATACTTGTTTGTGTGTGGTGCTGCCTCCAAGACATGATGCTTGGCGCTTGTCTTTGACCATAGGTTATAATTCATAAAAGTTATACCTATTAGTCCTCCTATGTATTTTAATTCCATTATAGTAAAGCAGGCAATTTTATTTCAACAGGATGTTCCTTTTAATGCATTAAATTTGAGGACTAACATTCATTTCATTGCTGTTTATATAAGCCAACATAAATAGTACTGCATAGCATAGAGCTATTCCCATCATTAAATTTACATTGTTGATTGTAATCTCATTTAGATACAATAATACATTAGAATATAGATTTTGAGTGAATGTGGAAGGTGTAGCAAAGAAAAAGTATAGTATTCAATGTTCTTGCATAGGAAGCTTTTGCGAGGCTGGTTAATACAATAGGAATTAATTGATTAACCATTTTGGGAAATATATTTTTGTGTTAATGATTATTGATCACCCAACATACAGTAGAGAATAATTTTATTAACTACCTAATTGCTTTACTATAGGTTTAGTTTCCTATACAATTAGTGCCATAAACCAAACATTATTTTAATTCTTCACAGGAGGGCAGTGAGGTCCATGTGATTGGGCGCCTGAATGATCAATGGCTGTATGGTCAGTGCAATGGGAAATATGGTCAATTTCCAGGAAACTTTGTTGATAGAATACCTCCCAATCTTCCACAGATGTGACATAAATGTAAATAGGTAGCTAAATATAGAATATTTCTTAATTGAGAGTTAACCAATTTACCTATTGAAATACTCGACTGTGACACGTCGTTAAAGTCTTCAGAAATGGTTCTAGCTTTGCATTTGTAAAGGAATAGCATTGTCTACCTCTTCCAACAAAGCTTATTTGCATTAATGATGTTAAACATGAAGTTCCTTGCAAAACCTTGCTTAGACATTTTATTATTTTTTTGTAAAGAGGCTTTGACAGTGGCTAAAAAGTGCATATCTCTGTTGTACAAACTTAGGAGAAATGTGCTTACTATTTCAACTATACCAATTATTAAGATTCAAGAAGATGGTAGTCAACGGGTATTATGTGCTGTTTTATTAGTAATGTAGGTAAATGTTGAGGAAATATATCAGAACTATGGAATAAAACAAATTACAATGGATTAGACAGACATAGGAAGGTTACCAATTCTGTATAAATAGCACTAATGTATTACCCTTCTGGTCTGAAAATACTGTACTGCTCTTTGATGCAGGTATTGGTATGTAACTTAAATGCCACATTTTCTGCGTCAGAAATGCCTATTTCATCTTAACTTTAAGACAAATTATCACATCAACTAGGCACCGTAACACTTGTTTGTATTGTATATTGGAATTACTCACACATGCACTCCATAAATCCCTTAAATATTATATTTGTAATATAAAACTGGTATATATTGTTCAAAGACCACTAATATTACTGTGAAAAAAGCAGTACATATATATTCCTGAATTTCTCGGTACTGTGCTGATGGCACATCAAATACTATGGTATTTATTTAAGGGAAGTTTTCTATAACCTGAATGCCCATCCCTGTATGTTGGTGAAATACCTAGGGACAATTTAAGATTATACTAATGTTGGTGTGTTATTAAGATGTGGGGGAAGTACATCTTTCATTAAAAGCAAATCACTTGAATATTTTTATTTATTAGAGTACTGAATGTTGAAGTAAATTCAGCATTATTAACTATTAATACAAAGCAGAGAGAGAGTGAGTTGTTAATTGTTTTGGAGTCAAGCTTTCTATACATTTGATATCCAAGTTTTATTACTATTTAATTTTACATTGTGGTTTGTTATACCTTAATGTTTTTCTGCTGCCAATATTTTTGGAAAGCATTTTTCTAGTGTCAATGGTCAGCATTACGGTAAGCTCGCTATTGTTTTCCCAAAAAACTTGGACTCTAGTGATAAAATTCTTTATTTTATTACTGTTTCAGTGCCAAAGTGAAAATGAGATCAAATATATATAACAAGATGAAGAAATATCTTAAGAGACCCCTTAAAGTATAAAAGATGTGATAAAATGTACGATATAATGTAATGAGTAAGAAGTGCTAGAAAAGTTCCTCTTTTCATTATATTAGCTTAAAATGTATTGTAACACATTTGAGTTGGATTGGTAAGAATATCCTTCGGTTAGCAAGAAGCTAATAAATTCAGTGTTCAACAAATTATATTATCATACCAGATTCAACCAAGAGGCTATATTTTCCAGAAGAGAAAGCATAGTTGGATTTTTCATGTGTACACACGCACGCAACACATGAATATTCAATGCATTTGACCAATAAAAGACCACTTCTGAACTCGCTATATTTTATATTGTCCCAGGACCTTTTAACCATCCTTGGGAATTTGTCTTCCTTAGAATGGGTGTTTTATCTGCATCTTTAATGCAAGACCTTTTACACACACATGCACACGAGTTAAGTTCCTCCTCCCCTTTCGGCTGTGTGTGTGTACACATTTGGAGCCAATTCATCTGTTCCAGAAAATAAACCTATCGGAAGGATAGCTAAAAATATGGCCTCACTTCTTCCACTGTCACGTGATGTATATAGCACGTATTCTGTAGATCAATTAATATTTACTTACTAGAGCAAATAAAGAGCATAGAACCAAGTACTGTACTGTATCAGATTATGTTGAATTAGACTTAAGACAAAATTTTAAAATACAGTATAACTTTTACAGATTAATATGTACAATGTACTAAAAGATAACTGAATAATATAGGCATTATTGGATTTAGTTTCGTATTGAAGTTAAAATTGAGGAAAATTATTGGACATGAAATATTATTAAACGTAACTTTAACGCAAATAAGTTGTCTTATTTTTTAATGACTTGATGTTGATGCTCAATTTTTCAGCTGATCATAAACCAAAGATGTAATATGTATTTACAACTGTTTGACTTTGTGTACTTACTGTAGTGGAATAAAGCAACATTGGGTAATTGTAACAAGATAAGTTTAATACAACTTGACAAATTAACATTGGACCATGGAGTAAACAAAGCATGTTTTATTTCATAAAGGCAGTATAAATGCAAAAATTTAAGTCATCCAAGGTAACTTTTGTTACTTTGGATGGCTTGCACTATTGAAGTTGTGCATCACCACAATAATTATAATAAAATGGTACAGTTGAAGAGAATGCTTTCCATATTCTAACTGTTGTATACAGTATTACAATTCTCCCTGGAAGATATAATTGCCATTATTCATATAATAATGTTAAGCACTGTTTTGGTTCCAAGTGAGTAACTGAAGATCGTTAAAAGTACTGTACGGTTTATTAGATGGTGCTGTACTGTTGTATACATGTAGAACTGTCATTGTTCTACATTACTTTCTATCACTAGTAGGAAAGTAGAAAGTGTTGGATACTTTTTTTCCACATGTCCCACTACTTTTCAGTAATGGGTTAGCCTGCTAAACATTGTTGTTGTTTGTAATTTTTGCAGATGTTTCATAACATTTCTTCAATGAGATGAAATCGATAGGAATTGTTTAGGAGGGAAAAATGAAGTATTGCTCAATTTGTTGGCATATTAAATCAAAAGTGCAGCGACTTAATTTATAAATTTATCATGCAAGGCTTCTGAAATGTTTATTTGTGAAACTTCATTCAATAGTGGTTAATGTTGTGTAGACATCATGTTTGTATTTCTGTACTGAAAATATCAGATGATGATGGGTTTGATACCAGTTACAGTATTGGCATCATTATCATATTAGCATTCCACCCAATACCTTTTACTAATTATTGCTCAGTTATGCCTGCTAATCAGATAATAAATTTATAATTAATCCATAGTTTTATTTTCACAAGTTCTTGGTTCAACCAAAATTCAGGTACATTCCATAATGTACATTGAGTAATATTAATGAAAAAACATATTTTAAAATGTTATTGTACAAAGGTGGAAAAATATAAAAGCCTGTTAAGAACGGAGAAAGGGAATTTGTGTGTGAATCCTTCGCTCGTGGCATTTCAGGGTCATTTGATTAATACTTGCATAAGACTGGTAGGCAATTGTTGCTGCTGCCATATTAAACCTAGTGTCTGTTTTGAATGAACAGCTATACTGGTGGATTAAGTATTTATAACTCACTCATATCAGAGCATTATTAAATTTTGTACAGCATATATGGTACTGTACTTGCCATTTTGCAGGTCATTTTTTCTTGTGAACTGCCTGATTTATCTCGTCAGAATTAAGCTACTAAAGAAAACAAAATTTTCCACCAGAACACGCTCATGGCTATAATTTTGAGTCTACTTTTTATTTGATATTTCTGAATCGGTGCTTAACCCAACACACTCCTACAGCAACAGCTTCACTTCCCTGCTATGATCACTTTTCTACATCAGTTTAACATAGGTTAGACCCAATAGGATTGACATTAGTCTTTTCTTTCTGGCAAATATGTTCCAATAGTAATTTATTATCATGCAAAACACTTCAATAGTAGTGTGAAATAATCATAGCCTAAACAAGTCTATCACTGTTTACTGAAAGCTACTCAATTCCAGACTTGATAACTTTTCAACAACAATTTAGCCTCTTACAATGTTAAAAATCTTCCTCCTATTTAGTCTGGCGGACATAGTTTTCTATTCACAAATGAATTTTCCCTGATTTTACCAAAGGGGTCACCATCTCTCCAGTAACCTCGACGGGAATCGAAAGCTGGAAGCTTGTCAAAGGAAAGTGAAAATCGGTAAAAATACCAGGTCAGCCACACAAGCAACAGGATAACATCAGCAGCATATAAACCATGTTGGAGAGACAAGATTTTTGAGAAAAAGTAAAACACTTACTTATATGCAATTAGTTACCTCGCCCAACCTGACCTCTACCTATGCGGCTGTAAGCCTCTCGCACTTTGACGGGCTCACTATAGTCCGTGATACGTGGAAATTTCTTTGAGTAGCTAATTCTAAAAACAACAAGAACTCGCACTCCATAATCCCTCAACAAAGTTCATCTACAACAGAGTAGCAGAAGGTTTGCCCTCTGCAATATGGTAACTTCAGGCCCCAAGTTAGGTTAAATATCCCGAAAGGAATCCACAGAAATAGCAATTCGCTTGTACATACAGATATAGACTACGTCTAGGTTACAGATGCAACTGGGAAAATAGTGAACCAAGAGTGGGAATGCATCTTCTGCCAAACAATCACAGAAAAGCCACTACCTCCTGGAATATGAAGCAACCAACGACTTTAGAAGAGCTTTTAAGAGTCCTTAAATCTTGTAGTAACCACCCGGAAGCCATCAACAATGCTACTCTTCCGGTTAAAAAAAGGTGTCCAGCAGCTGGACACCCTCATAAATACTGTTATAAAGTATCCTTTCTCCCCGCAATAGCAGCCACATAGGAGTGCCAGCTTAAATGCGTGCTCAGCACACAGTATATCCTTTCACAACTAAAGATCACATTCACTCCAAACATCTACCACTTACGGGCTACTCATGCCCGTGCCACCTCTTGGGTGGCTTAATTTTCATCAATCAATCATCAATCCCGCATTATCTCTTGCCCGCCAGCCATTGTCACCTCTACACATCAGCAGCGTAAAACTACATTGTCATGGACAGCCCAGACACGCCAACATGGATCTCTATGCTGCTGACACCCCCATCCCCACCCTCCACCCAGGCCCCTGCTACACCATCCACGTCCTTCGACAATGCAGTCCTACTTGTGTAAAGGAGGAAATGTATATGTTTATCTCTCAGAATGTTCGGTAATAAGTTTATTGCTTGTGATGTGTGTCTATGTATGTATTAACACGATGTACTGAACGGGGTGAGAATAGTAAGTAATTATCAGTAGAAGGCACCAAACCGGGAAGGCTATGTAGCACTACCTCATCCCTTTGTGTGTATTTTACCTCAATAAACTTATTTCAATGTTAATTTCAATTTCAATTTCGACAATGCAGATTTCCCCACCACCACCACTTCTGCAGAATTAAGGTAAAGAAATGTTCCTCCCGGCTGCTGCTGGAGTTACATAATTTTTTCTCCTGTGCCATGAGTCTCCATGTGCACACTGACGATTCCCAGCCTCCACGACGCCAGTTTGCTCTGCATCCTGGTCACATATTTCTCATTGTTGCTCAGTTTTGGAGTCATTCATTTTATTTATTAAGTGCCCTTTGTTAATAGTTCTAGTGTTATTTAATTTCTTGAGTTAATTAATAGTTCTAGTTATTCATGTGGCTAGTGCTCCCGATGCCTGAGTTGTTCCTCCCTCGTTGCTAGTATGACCCCCCAGCCTGCCTCCTCCATTTAGCTTAGTTCTTCCCACTGTTATGTTTCCCTTACCCCTCTTTCCACTGCATGCGGAAATTATTCCTCAACTCTTCCCTGCTCATGTGCCCCAGTGTTCCTGTCGCCGTGCTACGATCCAGCTTGCCCTCTCAAGTTGGACCAGTGTTCCCTCCCTGTACCTTTTAGTTTAGTTTAGTTCATTCATTATGCACCCCCATACCCATCTCGTGGGCGGTACTGATAAGGATGTTACCACCGCTCGGCTACAAGTACCTCTGGGAGTTTGTAACATCTGCTGATGTAGACTTGACTAAATGTAAACTGTCAGCAGAACTACTGGTATACCTTGCGCCATTATATAATGTTATGTGAAAAAATCGCGAAATTCAGAGAAAACACAATCAATGGAGTCCAAGAAATGTGTAAGTACTTCATTCATAATGAAGTACTACCAGGAATCTTAGCAAAGTATCCAAAATTTGCTTACTGTAGGCAATGAATGCATGCATGACTGTAAAACTGCCGCCCAGTTGGGTGAGTGTGGAGCAAGACTAGTAGTTGTGTCTCACCATAAATGTAAAGTGCCTTGTATAGTGACTGTTGTGAGCTTCTTGTTGAATCACTTGTGATATAAAAAGATTATCGATGTGTGTATGTATTTGTGTAAATGATTGTATATATATGTACATGTATATATACCATTAATAATTGTGTAACTAGCTTTGAAAGATTGTCACTTGCTTAGTTAAATGAACTATCCTGGAAACACAAACCGTAACTGTCTCTATTTTCCGCTTGTTACAACTTGTAATAAAGTTGTTACATCTTGGCTTAACGTGTTTATGACATATTAGAACTTTGTTACAACTTGCTATATTGGTTGTTATAACTGGTTAGGTGTTAAAACTTGTTCGAAGATTGTACCAAGGTCGTAGTTTCGGTGTGTGTTTGGCAGGTATGGGATTCAGTTCCTGAACCCATTATGTGCCTCCGTATCCCTTTTACCACCGCCCACGGGATGGGTATGGGGGGTGCATAATAAAGAATCTATTAATTCTCGTGTTCCATCCTCCTTCCACGTGCTCCTCCAAGCCGTGAGTGTTCGTAGTGTTTGCCCTTGAGTTGGTTCTATGCCCCAGTGCTCCCTATGCCCGTGCATCCCTCGCAAATCCTTGGCGTATTGTTTTCGTCTATACTCTGCTTTATCAGTTAATGATAAACCATAGTTAATGATAAACCAGAGTCGTTTCATACAGATTAACGCCAATATTGATGATGTTATAACCACGCGCCAACGAAAGACCCTGTTGTTAACATCAATACATGACTAGGTTAAAATTACAACCCGAATTAAAATTCTGTAGAAAGCAGGGATTTTTTTTACATAAACGTAAGCTCCCTTATTGAATGAATAAACATAATATAAGCTTATTTTTTATCTAACTTTATTAAAATATATATATATAAAAGATCCATGCTTGTCTTGTAACTTGTAAGGAATCACCAGACACGACTAAACTAGAACATTTGCTGAAAAGATGAACTTTTATTGCAATACTTTCACAGCTAAATATAAGCTGCATTAAGTCTTGAATATGATAGGAATTTCTACACACTGGCAATTTAGCGTAGTTAATAAAGGGAATAATTTGGTGTATTTTTTTATTTAACCCATTGGGTTTTTTTTATTAAAAATACCACTACACTGTTCTAGGAAACTTTCAACTGAAATACTCAATTGTTCATAAAAAAATAAAGATTTAATTTGGTGTTATGTAAGAACCTTCAATTACACAAAGAAATCCAATTAACGTGATGAATCAATGAGAAAATCAACAGGAGCCATGAGAAAGATTCGAACCTATGGAGTGGGTTCTCACAGGCAAAAACGCTCTAAACCACTACACCACGACATGGTCAAAAGCATTGCATCCTGGAATTCAACTGAATCCTCTAGGGTTCCTGAGGCTTCCACTGAAGCCTATCAGGATTTCACACAACGAGTCCATTCCTCTAGCTTGTAGTCTAGGAATTCTACTTCTTGCGCTTCTTTGTCCATTTCAAGAGATGCGTAGGAGGTAGAATTCCTAGACTACAAGCCAGAGTGCATGGAGGGGGGCATTGTGCGAAACTATGATAGGCTTCAGTGGAAGCCACGGAAACCCTAGAGGATTCAGCTAAATCCCAGGTTGCAATGCTTTTGTCCATGTAGTGGTGTAGTGGTTTAGAGCGTTTGCCTAAGAATACCCAGTGTATAGGTTCGAATCTTCCTTATGGTTCCTGCTGATTTTCTCGTAAGAATCTTCATTCTGACGTCAATGCTATGAAAACCATTTAAAAGGATAATATATAAGACATTTCATGATCTGGGGATAGGCCAATTCATTCCATTCCAAATAGCTCAATTGGACATTGTTATTTTGGAGTCGGTGAAGACGGCTTAACACAACCCCTTAAACGAAACCCGTACATCACCTACAGAAACAACTAGACAAATCAGGACAGTTAAGGATGAAAATAAATAATAATAATGTATGCCGAAATGGAAATCAGTTTTCAAAATCGATGTGACCTGCGTAGTGGATCTCCAGTAAGTTAGGGGGACTTAGTGTGGCCTCCATCCAGCCTCCAGCCTATCCCTTATTTTGGTGACATTCTCCTCCATCTGACTCAACTCCATGGCTAGGCGAGCGTTGCGGGCTGACACCTGTACCATAACCTTAGTTACACAGTGCTAACGATTGCATATTTTACTAAAATTACTTTATATACACACACACACTAGGATATATATATATGTGAACAATAAATCAATACCTGGTCTCGATCATTTTGTAGACGCCTCACATGATCATTGTCACGTCGCTGGTATACCCTCACGTCCTGGTTGGCTCTATGTAACTCATCTTGCACTTCTTTTAGCGACTCGTGCTGCATGCTCGCCTTTTTATGTCAAGAAAAAATGGCACATTTTTCATTCAAATAGGTGTGAATCAGCACAATGATAATAATAATAACACAAAACCTCTTGGTCACACATCCACAATTAAATTACACACATATATTGCCTGTCTATATTTTTTACAGCAAAATCTAATAGAGTACATGTCTTAAGATTCATGAAAGTTTGTGAAGGAAAGTAATTTCCCATCATGGCTAAAAAATTTAGCGTGGGCCGCCTTAGGAAGGTGTGAGCTGTGCAATGTGGATTAAATAACATGATAAAATACTGTACATAAATGGATTAACTGAATTTAAATTGCTTATATGCCCGAAACGCTTTGCGTAATAGTGGCTTTAGGCATTGTATGTACTAGCCCTAACTATAAATCCATCACTCTTTGTAAAATCTCTTTTATGTATGTACCTTATCTAAATAAACATTTTGATTTTTTAAAATTGCTTTCAGCTTGGAATCAATAAAATTTTAAAACTATATACACGATATCGAAGTAATGTTTAGCAGTTACACTAGTATGAATAGAGAAAGTTTGTGCAATGCATATAAAAAAGGGAAAAATATTTGGTTAGCTCTAGCAGACTTAAGAAATCTTTGTCTAAGTGATTCATTTAAATAGTATAGCCTGGCTCCTTGATGGCTCACCCGCTTCTCTAGATGATCTTTGCGTTGCGTGAGGCTGTCCACCTGGTCCCTAAGGCGAGGCAGTTTTCCAACCATGCCTTTGAGAGAATCCCGATGCTCCCTGAGAGAGGCAACGCTCTGGCGTGCTTGAATCACCTGCTCTTCCTCAGGAGTGTTACGCATACGTCTGGTCTTCAAAATCTCCTCCCAAGCATTCATCCGTCGCTCCACCACCTTAGCCACAACCTCTAACCGCGCTATGTCGTCCTTTACAATCGTTTTCTTGTGTTGTAGTTCTGCCAAGCGAGTATTAGCGTTATTTATTCTCTCTCGCTCAATGAGGAAGGATTCGTGACACTTCCGGAGGTTATTGCGGGTGCTGCGTGTACGACTCTCTATCAAGTCCTGCTCTTCCAGTAAGTGATTGTACCGCTTGTTGGCCTCCTGTAGTTGCTTGGTGGATTGCGCTGCTTTTGCCTCTGCTGCTGTCAGCTGTTCATCCACTTTCTGCGCCTCCAGACGCAGCTTCATAACAGAATCCTGAAATATGCATTAGCCGTGTACGTATTGCGTTTCTATTTTTACTGCAGTGGATGACCAAATATTACAGCCACTTATTTCAATTTATATGCATTTATAATTAAAAAATATATCGGATAACACTTTTCCCAAGTATTCTAAAATGTAATATCCAATCAGAACAAATCATTGTATAAACACAGTATTTTTATCCAATCAGAACAAATCATTGTATAAACACAGTATTTTTATCCAATCAGAACAAATCATTGTATAAAAACAGTATTTTATAAGTATGAAAATTAATATAATAAAACATTCAGTGTTACAAGGGTTTGTACCCAAATGTGGTCATATTTAACTGAATGATAATAGAATAACTTTTGTCATGGCCACTGGCATAAGCCTAAAGAAAATTCAAGCATAAATCAGACAATTTTGTTTTAATTTAGTAGAGCACTGTGACTTGTTTTACTGTGGGTCTACACTATCATCGATCATTACTGTTTAATACTCCGTGGGCCTACAATATATCTTGAGATAATTTCGGGGCTTAGCGTCCCCGGGGCCCGGTCCTCGACCAGGTCTCCTTTTTGTTACACACCCCCAGGAAGCAGCCCGTAACAGCTGTCTAACTCCCAGGTACCTATTTACTGCTAGGCTACTTACTGCTATATCAGCGATATTGTAGTACGATACCCAGTGTTGAGGGGGGCTTGACGGCCGAGTGGACAGCACTCGGTGCTTGTAATCCTAGGGTCCGGGGATCGATCCCCGGCGATGGCGGAAATAAATGGGCAGTGTCTTTCACCCTGATATCCTGTTCATCTAGCAGTAAAAGGTACCTGGGAGTTACAGCTGCTACGGGCTGCTTCCTGGAGTGTGTGTGTGTGGGGGGGGGGGATTGTTAATTGACAGTTGAGAGGCGGGCCCAGAGCCAGAGCTCAATCCCCGCAAGCACAACTAGGTGACTACACTCAGCGATCGTTATCATATTTCGAAATGTGCTCACCTAGTTGTGCTTGTGGGGGAGGGGGGTTGAGGTCTGGGTCTTTGGTCCCGCCTCTCCACTGTCAATCAACTGGTGGATTTTCAATGTGGACTGGAAAAACTTACAACTTTCAATGTTATCTTGAGATGATTTCGGGGCTTTAGTGTCCCCGCGGCCCGGTCCTCGACCAGGCCTCCACCCACAGGAAGCAGCCCGTGACAGCTGACTAACACCCAGGTACCTATTTTACTGCTAGGTAACAGGGGCATAGGGTGAAAGAAACTCTGCCCATTGTTTCTCGCCGGCGCCCGAGATCGAACCCGGGACCACAGGATCACAAGTCCAGCTTGCTGTCCGCTCGGCTCCCTTAATAAGCCGGTCATGTGAGCAGACTTATCTCCTGGTTTACTAAGGTAAAGATGAGTTTACTTGCAGTGTTCACAGTTTACTTGAGACGCCAGCTACTGCGTCTGGCCGACATGTATCCTGTGTCTCCTTCCTGAGCGGTCCACGGTTTTCACATCGTAATTTAGATATTTTCGTAGGACACCATGAATCATGGTAAGCAAATTCAACAGTTGGATATATTACATCATTGTAAACCGGTTAATGTAACTTGATTGTTGAATTTAGCAACAGCCGAAGAGATTTTTTAAATCTATGAGGATCCGGGAGCCGGTCGGCCGAGCGGACAGCACGCTGGGCTTGTGATCCTGTGGTCCTGGGTTCGATCCCAGGCGCCGACGAGAAACAATGGGCAGTTTCTTTCACCCTATGCCCCTGTTACCTAGCAGTAAAATAGGTACCTGGGTGTTAGTCAGCTGTCACGGGCTGCTTCCTGGGGGTGGAGGCCTGGTCGAGGACCGGGCCGCGGGGACACTAAAGCCCCGAAATCATCTCAAGATAACCATTCGGCGCCATTTGCAACCACGATGACAATTAACGAAATACTTCCAAGGAAAAAACAACAACATATATTTCACATTCATTCTACATCCAGAGGACGAACACTCAGCCAAACTCTGGTAGTACGTGTACTCAAGACGTACCTGCATACACATTTGTTTGGACTCCATGATGAGGACACGTGCCGCCACCGCCGCCGCTGCCTGACGTACTCTCCCTCACGCTCCGTCTGGCGCCAGTGGGGCTAACATTTATACTAATTATATTTTTATATCTTATTTCAATATTTTTTGGTGTTGGATCAGTGTTCTTAGTATATACTCAGGAAGATATATATTTTATAAGTTATTTCAAATTTTGGTTTGACATCTTCGTGGAAATTGGTGATTTTTTTTTAGATTCAAAACAAAGAAGAAAGAGTTATGGACTTCGAGAATTTAAATACTATGACGTCACTTGCTGATTCACCCAATCGCTATTTTCCATAACAAATTCAAATTTAATGGTAACAAAAATAAGTCTAGAAGGTAAATTAATATTAGTGAAAGCTCTATATTAATTTAAGCAATATTTACATACAAATCTTTTTTTTAAACAATACAATAAATATGTTCAGGTATACCATTTTCTTTTCAACATTTCAATTTTCTTTTAACTTTTTTTTTAATTTTGCATATATAAGTTCTAATATAGATTGTAGAATGTTTAAGCGAAATTAAGAGTTTAGTCTGGCAGTGCCTATATATTTATATGAGTAAATGAGTTTAATATCCATATACAAGTAAAGCTCCAAAGTTTGGTATCATTCACGCCAGGATGAAATATAAATAAAAACTAAAAAAAAAGACATTCCAAATGTAAAAAGAACTATCAATACAGAGACTTTTCAAAATAAAAAATATCGATATAAATCGCGTCTTTTTCCAAGCTACGAAAGCCAATTTTTTCGAAAAAAAAGTCTGGGGCATTTCTCTAGTGCTGACATTTCTTCTCATCTTCTATAACCTGTAAACCTATTTCCCATGAACATGGATATCCAAGCCTGATACGATGAAAGTGCACTTTTGTTTTTCTATTGCTCCTTTTCATCAAAATGATGACCACACCACACCAGCACCATTCCTCTCCCCCCCCTGTCCAATCCCAAATCCTTATCCTGGCCCCTTCCAAGTGCTATAGTCATAATGGCTTGGCGCTTTCCCCCTGATAGTTCCTTTCTAACATCGATAGACAGACCTCGCTGTATCCTAGTGGCAGGTGTGGTCTATTATTACAATACATGCTTAATTCTGAGGCTGAAGACGTGGTTGGTCTAGTTGATCACTGTTCTGCTCTCATTTTCTCAGGTTGGCAGGTTGAGTAAGGAGGTTTGACTACGTTAATTGAAAGTTCCCTCTTTTAACCTTACCGAGTAGGCCGGACGACTCAAACAGAAAACGGAACAGTACGTCACTTTTGTGAGTCGATTTCATTTCAAATTACGTCCAAATTTGGCCATAGTGCGCATACGAGCCAAAAGTGACGTTATTTTTAAGAGGACGGGTTGGTCTACCTACCTTGCTCTCTGTATCAGCTCAATTGCCTGAGTTTCTGGCCTCCCACTCTATTTTCATGTGATTGAAATCTTTCATGATTAGAAGTTATGCTTCTAAGGTGCTTTCGCATCTTAAACATTGAAATAACATGTCAATGTTATTTTAGCGTTGCCAGGAATATATTTATTGCATTGAAACCAAAATGACTGTTGCTCTGGACGATGAGCATCATGCCAATGGCCAAATATTCAAATTTCGTGCAAAATATATCACCTTAGGATAATGAAGATGCAATCTCCCAGATGTCAGAGATGAAATAAAACAAGGACAAAGCAGCATATTTTTTAATGGCGGGCACCAAGTGCCCTGTTTACACCAGTTGACTTGAGACGCCTCACACCACCACGAGTAACCGTACAAACACACAACGTAACGGTCCCTATGATGATTCCCTTCTTACAACTTGTAATAAAGTTTTAACAGCTTTTTATAACGTTTTTATGACGTATTAGAACGTTGTTACAACTTGTTATATTGGTTGTTACAATTGTTTGGTGTTAAACCTTGTTCGAACGTTGTAGTAACGTCGTAGTTTCGTCGTGTTTGGAGGGTTATAGTATCTTATTTGTCTTGGATGTGACTAGGAACTAGCCTTCAGGACCAGTTCTTGTGTTGAGGTCTAGCATGAAACCTGACTTACCTAACCTAACCCTAAGGTATCGTGCAAATTAGATTAGAATTATTTTGATTCAGTTGCTTCAGCAGGTTTTCATAGTTCATTGCCGTCTTAAAACTCAAGAATACAATCTGTTTGAGTAATGGACAAGTCAAATGTTCAACAACCATGTACGCCTGGTCCTGATGGCCCTTTCTAGTGATATACTGTACTATATATACACCAGGGGCTAGATTCACGAAGCAGTTACGCAAGTACTTACGAACGTGTACATCTTTCCTCAATCTTTGACGCCTTTGGTTACGTTTATTAAACAATTTACAAGCATAAAAACTTCCCAATCAACTGTTGTTATTGTTATAAACAGCCTCCTGGTGCTTCGGAGCTCATTAACCGTTTAATAATTTTAAACAAAGCCGCCAAAGATTGAGAAAAGATAGACAGGTTCCTAAGTGCTTGTGTAACTGCTTCGTGAATCTGGACCCAGAGTTGTACAGTCTTGCTACGATATGTAAGTGATAATGTTGATATCCATTAGGGCGCAACCCTGGGATGCATTTCACGTTGAATATATTTCCTCAAAATCCTTATATGCTACTGAATAAAACCATTAGTTTTTTTTTATAAACATACTTGTTTGGACTGCCTACTTCCGAAAACTACTTTAATGTAAAAACATATAGTTCTATTTTTTTTGTCAAAATCACGGTCATGTTACAAGCCTAAATCTCTTAAATGATTCTGTACCTTGCTATAGAAACTAGTACCATTATCAGGAACTGTGAACGTAGGAGGTATTTTTGTCAGAAAAGTTGGCAAATCGTGTTTTTCCAGTGGATATAGTAATGCTGAAGCCGATAACTTTGACATGCTCTATTTTGATACTTTTGTCCGAAATGACAAACCAAAAAAATAACAAGAGGCAAGCGAGGCTACAAACAGCCATAACTTGTGAGCGAGAGAGGGAGGGGAAGGATGTATAAAGCCTTAAGTTTTGCGTCTAATTGCATTGTTTTAGTGCTTACAAAGCCACTGAGAACAGCATAAGGCGATGTACACAATGTCAGGGTACTTGTCTGAGGGCATGATGGCAACTACGGATCTGGTGAACAGTCATACATAGAAATCTCGTGTGAATGTGTAGAAGCTGGGTCAGGTACGGCTTAAAACTTTTTGTGAAAGAAAGACTCAGGCGTCTAGGGTGACCCGGGACGCCAGTTCAATTCCACCGCATTGCTCCGAAAGTTTCTCACTTAGACAATGGTCACACACAAGGTCAGAGAGTACCCCCTTCCTCCTCACACAGCTCAAGGGCCAGAGTCCTATCCCTCTATGGAAGAAAAAAAAAGCTAAAGTAAACAAATCCGCTATAAAAGCAGGCAGGAATGTACTTGAGGGCACGGGAGACATCTCCCGTCACGCAGGGTGCAGTCGCACCTCCACAGATCTTCAGTATCATCAATTGATACTGGGAATGACTCAAAAGGGCCAACACTTACAGGCTCATTCGAGGCAGTTCCTGTTTATGTACACCCAAACTCATTCATATATTCTTCCATAAATCATCAAGCCTCTCTCCAAACCAGTATTTATCCAGGTCTTTCCTGAATCTAAGCTTACCCAAGGTATTTCCATTGCTTAGTTTTATTTTTGTGTTGATAGATTTGAAATCGAACATGTTTATGCGGGAAGACCCTTTGACAAGTCGGATGTTATTGTTGATCAGTATCAAATTCAATTAAGTCTGGTTCGAGAGAAATGCCCTGAATAGTGGAGTCTGATTAGAACAATGGAAAATAGGTTAGCATATCCTCTGGAAAATAGGTTAGCATATCCTCTGGAAAATAGGTTAGCATATCCTCTGGAAAATAGGTTAGCATATCCTCTGGAAAATAGGTCAGCATATCCTCTGGAAATAATGGTTTGTCACCTTTTCCTCAAAACATTCCTCCAAAACTTTACTCAGTAACATATCTGGGAATCTGTATTATTCTACTTTAATTCCTCAGGCACTTTGTAACAAAATATAAACTAGATGATTTGTATTTTTTATTTGAATGAATCGATTTGCACATTAAAAAAGTATCTTTTTTTAACTTTGTGTGATCGATATGTCAGTCTGCATCAGTTATCCAGACACTGTACAGTTATCATACTGACTTAATAATATATCCACGAACTTTACCTCTGTAAAGGTATTGATATCGGGGCAATAGTTATCAACATTTAGTATAACACCCTGTAAATTCCTAATTTGTATATGTATCTGCAGACATCTTAAATATAAAACAACAAACAAACAAATGTTGCCTCATGCAGGCTATGAGTCACAATAACGTGGCTAAATTATGTTGACCAGACCACACACTAGAAAGTGAAGGGACGACGACGTTTCGGTTCGTCCTGGACCATTCTCAAGGACTTGAGAATGGTCCAGGACGGACCGTAACGTCGTCGTCCCTTCACCTTCTAGTGTGTGGTCTGGTCAACAAATGTTGCCCCGTTTCCATACACTAAACTTGAGTGTTTCTATACAATAAATAACTAGGGGTAACATAATATAATAATTGGTTTAGAAGAATATCAATTTGAAGACAAAATCTTGACTAGGACGTAAGACTGGCGGCCATTACCACTCAGTCACATGTACACACATGTTAACTTATACCTGCTCGAGCAGAAGCTGCTAAACATCTACAGTTTTATTCATAAACTTATGTACATCTCTCAACTACACTTACATTCATGTAGGGTGAGAATTTCTCAAGAAAATAAGTAATACAAAATAGACATTTACTGATTACACATTCAACTGAGCGCTCGAAATTGTGTTGTCAAGCTAGGGGGCTCCTCGCTACATATCACAGTCGATGACGACGTTTTTAACACACAACACGAACCAATTTGCTGCAGATGAGGACAAGCTGTGATGTTGAGACCATATTGCCACGAGCAGGAGGGAGCAAACGTCGGCCACTGTGCTATCTCACAATGTTCCTACGACTAGCACTGTGCTATTCTCATACTCTTCCTACGACTAACACTGCGCTATATCAATTCTTTCAGTTGTCACTGTGGCGTTCTAACAACACCACTACGGCCGGCACTGCGGTATAAATATATATATATATATATATATATATATATATATATATATATATATATATATATATATATATATATATATACATATATATATATATATATATATATATATATATATATATATATATATATATATATATATATATTTATTTTACGGCTACGTACTTCAAATTTAACTGACAAAAACCACGACTAACATTCTTAAGTATGATATCACACAGTCAGATATCAATGTTTAGGAGGCACCTTAGGTTGCTACACTCTGGTGGTAATGTATACTATCAGATCTGTGTATCTTAAGTCTGCTCTTGTTTTCTAGACTTTAGTGAGTAACCTTCAAAAATAGATAACAAAAGATAGCAGATTACAGCCACATTGCTAGCAGATTAATGTACAGTTAGGACTAAATTAACAGTTAACTTAAAGCCAAGACTGGACTACAGTTAGTCTTCAACCAGGTTAGAGTCTAGTACATTGTATAACAAACACCAGTTAGACTGCAGTCCCTGTTCAGAGTATAGCCAGGCTACAGTCAGATAACAGATCAAAAGAGTGAATCCAAAATACAGCCAAACTGCTGTTGGATTACATTTAGACAAGAGTAAAGATTACAGCCAAACAGCAGGCTACAGCCAGGCCCCGTTACAGCCAAACAGCAGGCTACAGCCAGGCCCCGTTACAGCCAAACAGCAGGCTACAGCCAGGCCCCTTTACAGCCAAACAGCAGGCTACAGCCAGGCCCCGTTACAGCCAAACAGCAGGCTACAGCCAGGCCCCTTTACAGCCAAACAGCAGGCTACAGCCAGGCCCCGTTACAGCCAAACAGCAGGCTACAGCCAGGCCCCTTTACAGCCAAACAGCAGGCTACAGCCAGGCCCCGTTACAGCCAAACATCGCCCAGTCTCCATCGAGCTCGTCAGTGCGAAGGAGGGAAAGGGGGGTGATGGTGGTGTCACATGAAACTAAGACTAGTAGTAATCGATGGGATCGTCGTCAGTGAAATTGTAGGTCCTCCTGACGAGGACGTGCTGCTGGCCTCTGTCGTCTGCAGGAGTATTGGGGAGGGAGTTATCGGAGGGCCTGACCAGTTGGATCCGCCGCTCCTGGGACGCGGAGAACCTGCAGGGGAAGGAGAGAAGGTTCTCATTAATGCACGATGCTACGCTCAGATGAGCTTCTACTCTACGCGGTAGAAACAGTCTAAGCTACTCTATCCCATTGAGATGTCTTGTCTCAATCAACATACTTGAACTTGAATTGAACTTGAGCTACTACACGCATGAACCGTCTCTTTGTTACTATCGTTCTCAGACTTATATGATGTGGGGTTGTTAATGCTATTCTCATATATTCGTCTTGTACTTTATCTAGCACGGTAAATTACTAGTCTTTTGTATGTTGCTTTTCTTCCATGTATGAGAGAAGGTGCAGAGCTTCTTCATCCAGATAAGATGACCTATCCACTGACGTGACTACTTTTATAGATAAATATTGTGATGCAAAACTTTCACCATTAATCCAAATATCCACCCATCCATCTACCTATATATCCACAATTCAACCATCCATTCGTCTAACCAATTGTCTCAGTAACTATATGTCAGCCAATTTATACATATACATATATCTGAAATGGATGAATCCATTTCTCACAACTAATATGATTATATCTCCTACATTCTCCAATACTACCAACTAAAAGTTGTCAGATTCACCAGGCTTTTGCAGACAATCCGAACTGATCCATATATCCCCAGATCCCTTTACAAGGATACCCAAGCTTCTCTCTCTCTCTCTCCCTCTTAATCTTGGAACTGTCTTAACACTATAATTAAGATGTCAATGACCAGCGGAGCGAGCGATCGACTAATTAGACGAAATACTCATTGTTAAATTTATACCCGCGAAGCTACAAGAATCAGGACTTATTACTAAAGAGAATTTCTCCTAAAGGCTTCCCAAAATACTGGCTGAGGCGTCTGGCCCCGCGGTCATAATGCCATAACAGTCATTTTATTGATGTTAAAATATATATATTATTTTACATGTAAAACTGAGGTCGACCTACTTATGTAGACGAGGGCTAGTTTAGCCCTTATCTATGACCTCGATGACGGCTACTTGTGACGAGGCCTACTTAAGGTTGAGTTCTACTAAAGTGGACGAGGCTCACTCAGTTCAAGAGACCTAAGACTTAAGAATGAGACCTACTTTAAGGTCTTTGGGTTATTAAGATCTATAACAAGAAATATTCTGACTATCGTCACCAGGAGTCACAAGGACAATAAGTAACAAAATCAGCCTTCTCGTGTATACTCTTGAAAATCATACACTTGTATATTTGTATACTTAACAATATTATGATAAGTTCCAGATACAGAAGACACTTGCATCTACACACAGCGCCTTGCCAAGAGCTATTTGTCACGCGCAAACTCATGCTTAGATTGTTAGTTCTGCCTTACCTGGCTAACACTTTTAGTGTTAATTATACCTTACCTGGCTAACACCTTTAGTGTTAATTATACCTTACTTGGCTAACATACTGTTAATTACACCTTACCTGGCTAACACCTTTGGTGTTAATTATACCTTACTTGGCTAACATACTGTTAATTACACCTTACCTGGATAACACCTTTAGTGTTAATTATTCCCCACCTGAAGCATGTGTAAATAGTGATCTACCTCCATTATTACAAAAAGACGAGCTAATTTATAATTAATTTTTGTACAATGTATAATTCAAATATATTAAATTTATCATGTAAACTTTGTGTGTCTTTTCAATATTTGTATTCTGGAATATATATTATATATCACACACACACACACACACACACACACACACACACACACACACACATACATACACACATACACACACACACACACACACACACACACACACACACACACACACACACACACACACACACACACACACACACACACACACACACACACCCGTATATATTTATATTCACATCTCTCTTACTCTGTAATGTACTGATAATCTAACTACAAACATGCACAAAATCCAGATAATGTACTTGCATAGAATAGAATTAAATGTTATATGCACTATACCTGTAAGTGGGACATTGCTATTCATAAAAGCGAACAATTTAGTGTAGCGAGTTAATAAGATTCCCGTTTAGATCACTTTAAACTACAAGAACACTACACAACTACTATTGGGCTAACATGTTTTATTTCGACCATTTATAATGTTTATTAATGAATTTATTAATAATACACGGATATACATTCACGCATGCAGTAACTACAAAGCAATTAAACAACAAGCAGGTCTTACAGCAGAAAACATCAAGAGAACATTGTTCATTACGATGAAGGATTAAGATGAGGCATTAAATTATTAGAGGCATTATAACGCTCAATCGAGCTGAAGAAGTTCATGGAATAGAGCTCAGGCGACAGCCACCATCACAACAGTCTTATGCTCCAGTCGTCCTGAAGAGTTTGTATGGTTGGATTGTAACACAGATATCACCCGTCCACTCATCGAGCATAAAGGAGGCACAGTGTATGAAGCTAAGGCAATGCACACACACTAAAAGTTTGCTATCACTATATGGAAAATGTTCAAAATTCAAGTCAAACTGAGGGAGAATTGTCACTATAGATGCAATGAATGTTCAAGATGCAAGTGTTCAACACTGATATTTAAATTCAAGATGTATTTAAAAAAAACGAACCGTCGCAACCTAGTTGGTAAGTGAGTGGGAAGTTGTGTCCCTCAGTCGCTGGCGCCCGGCAGGGTCTGCTGCATGCCCGCCTCCTCCATGGAGATGGCGCTGTGGGAGCTGCGGACCCTCCTGCTGACTGAACTGGCAGGCCTTGTTGACTCAGGACCCCGGGAGGTGATGGCTCTTGACGGCCCTCGTGATCCCTGCAATGACTCTGGTGTGCTCTTTGGGGAGGTGTTTGGAGTGGAGCGACACACGGGAGGGGTGAGGCTCCGGACCGTGAAGTTCGTGATACCCACGTCGGGAGAGGCTCTGCCTCCTGAAGTGGTAGTTCGTTCCCTTGAAGGCGTCAGGTGACCTAATGAGGGGACAATTCTTTCGGCAGAGGGGGTTTGTCTGCCCATCGAAGGGGTAGTTCTGCCCCCAGCGGGGGACGCAGTTCTTCCTAGTGAAGAGAGAGCTCTCTCAGCTGAAGGGGAAGTTCTCCCAGCTGCTGAGGTAACTCTGCTGCCAGCAGGTGGGGCTCTAACAAAGGGTTGATGTGTGGTGCTTACCCCGGGTGGCTTGCTGCCCACTGGCGTTATCATCCTGCAGGTGCGAGACAGGAGGTGTTCACTAGCGAGGCTCTAAACCCACACTCACACGTTCAATATGACTGGAGCTACACGACGAATACCCTTTACTGCAACACTCAAACTCCTCAATATTTGTAAAGGTTCACTATCAATAACGATGCACTTTTGGCACTCTTCCTTCATACTAAGATAAACTGGATTATATAGAGCTTCCCAATGGGGTTAGATCTAAAAGACCAGGTCGCAACGGAAGACATGCTGGATGCTGGCTGTCTCAGAGGTGAGGTGAAGACATGCGCTCATCTCTTATGAGGTGAGGACATGCACTCACCGTCTCATGCACCATATCTTAAGACATTTCACTGGGGGTTTTAATCTTGCTGATGCAACACATGCTGACTATCTCCTTCACTTATTCTAACCAGCAATATATTTACATATTATTTCAAGCTGGCAGACGATAGACAGTCTACAAATAAATATTATACCTAGTAATTAAACTAAGTTAACTGAAGTATTTTTTTTTTAATAGAATCTATCTTTGCTTACTAAGTTGAGGTAACACGTCTGGCAACTTTATACAAACTTAGAATACATCTTGCAAGGTTGTGAGATTCTAAGAATACAACCTGCAAGGTTGTGAGAATCTTAGAATAATACACCTTATAAGGCCGTGAGAACTAGATGTCTGTAAGTGAGAGAAACTAAAGACAGCGAAATAAATGAAATTATATATATATATATATATATATATATATATATATATATATATATATATATATATATATATATATATATATATATATATATATATATATATATCGAGTACTAGATGCAAGAGGTAATTATAACAACCTGGTTGAACTACCGGGCGAGATGCGCACTGGGCATGCGCCCACCTAGTGCTACTGGTGCGCTACTGAGCGCATCGAGGCGCCGCCTGCACTCCAGCCGCCCGTGGAGGAGGTTACAAAAATTCTGTAAGATGTTAAATGTCACATTGGAGAGAAGCATATAATGAGAGAGAGAGAGAGAGAGAGAGAGTGAGAGAGAGGGAGAGAGAGAGAGAGAGAGAGAGAGAGAGAGAGAGAGAGAGAGAGAGAGAGAGAGAGAGAGAGAGAGAGAGAGAGAGAGAGAGAGAGAGTGAGTGAGTGAGTGAGTGAGTGAGTGAGTGAGTGAGTGAGTGAGTGAGTGAGTGAGAGAGAGAGAGAGAGAGAGAGAGAGAGAGAGAGAGAGAGAGAGAGAGAGAGAGAGAGAGAGAGAGAGAGAGAGAGAGAGAGAGAGAGAGAGAGAGAGAGAGAGAGAGAGAGAGAGAGAGATTAAAAAGTGATCATCCTGGGTAAGATATGCAGAGTACTAAACCAGGAATGCTTTAGTCCACACGAGTCTGCTCCTTAACTTTGTATGATACTCACAATCATCGAGTACCAAAAGGAAAGCCTTAACAGATTACTTGTGCCATATAAAAATAAATAAATAACAGACATACTAAATTTAGCAGTGAATCAATCAATATATAAGCCTAGCACGCAAAAAAATTTATTCACTCAAACCGCACTCTGAGATAATCCAACTTTCTGATTCCTATCCAGAGGAAAGTGAGTTCTGTGCTCTAAAATTACACAACCTTAAAGAGGAAATATTATCTGAGAGGCAGAAAGCACGTCACACACCACACGAGCAATGCCCTCAAAGTACACGTCAAAGCCACACACAGGGGCTCCGGGGGGCGCGACCTTGAGTCCTTATACATGGCCGTCGTCGACGATGACCTTACCTGCCGGAGGCGGCGGCGGTGGACACGGTGCTGGTGGGGGTAATCCGAGACTTGGCACTGATGCTGATGATCTCACTGCGCTTGTAGGTGAGCTCCGTGCCACAGCACAGACGGTGCATCTTGGTGCGGAACTGTGAGATGAGTGAAGGAGAGAGAGAGAGAGAGTCACTGATGGAAGATTGCCGAAGGGTTAAATAATGGTCCTATTCAATCAATTACTTCGGCTCACAGACGATATTCCTCCTCCTCTTCACTTTGCTACTTTATAAGAAATACACAGCTAAAATCCTTGATATTAATGAAATAAACCGTTATCCTGAGCGAGTTCCCAGTGGACACAATATGCAAGTGTAACATTACCTCAACGTTATCAACATTGAATCAGCGTTAATTCAACGCTAAATTAGCGTTGAAAACATTGGACACTGTTAATGTCAATGAGTAAAGTCAACGTTAAATTGACCTTACTCGTTGACATTGTGTCCAGTGGGTTGCAGGCGACGAGTCACAATAACGTGGCTAAAGTATGATGACCAGACCACACACTAGACTGAAGGGACGACGACGTTTCGGTCCGTCCTGGACCATTCCCAAGTCGACCATTCACAATCGACTTGAGAATGGTCCAGGACGGACCGAAACGTCGTCGTCCCTTCACACTCTAGTGTGTGATCTGGTCATCCAGTGGGTTATTAGTCCTCAAGAGTGACACGATGAGTAATACTCAAAACAAAGTGGTAAGCCAGGAACATGGTGGCGTTGATACCCAGGCTCAAGGACGAGATTAGGGGCATTGAGTGGGAGAGTCTCTCACCGTGTCGTCAAACCAAGTCCTGCAGAAGACAATAGTGATGGCGAGGATGAGGGTCAAGGAGCAGAAGGCGAAGTAGGTGCCTTGGTTGTGATGCTGGTAGTAGGAGACGCCGAGGCTCCACACGGCCGCCAGCTCCACCGTCAGCGCCATCACCACCCACCGGAGTTTGTGGCTGTCGCTGTAGGATAGGGGAAGGAACACGTCAGGTAAGAGGTCGTAGTAAGACCTCTTATCTGACGTAGCTAAGAGGTCGTAGCTAAGTAAACAAAGGTGCTGAAAAAACTTATTCGAAAGTTCTCTTTCTGCGATCAAATTTGTAGACGTTTAGTGAGATTAAGCTTAGGTAATTACAGTGGTATCCGCATGTACTCTTCACCGTGTTGAACTGCAACGTTATGTAAACACAACATAGCTCTTGTATTTTCACACTGTGTACCAGCTCCCTTTAGTTCTTAAAAGAGCTGTTGCTTGTAGTTAAAGAACAAGATGTGTTACATCATAAATAAAAAACGATCAGTAGATCACATCTGCCTTACACTTTTATAACATTTAATGTGTTGTATACTCATGTATATGGAATGAGTTACTATATTATAGTTAAATTAATAACATATATATATATATATATATATATATATGATTAAAATATAGAAGGACCAGATTAGCCTCTAAAAAACACAAATGACAGTGATCTTTCTGAAGGGTGTCAGTTAATACGTCCCCTAGTACATGAGCATTAACCAAATACGTTTTGACTTTATAGACTTTGACTCCCAACCAAAATAAAGAATTTATTTTCTCCTACCTCTGTCTGCCACGAAGGTTGACCTCTATGAGTTCCGGGGAGGTCTCGGCGGTGCAGAGAGTGTTGAAGAGCAGCACCAATGTGGCTAGCACCAGAATGCCGATGGGAATCACTTCTCCCAACATGGCTGCTCCCAGCGGATTCAACCAACAGCTGGTGAGAGTCAAACCATCGGGTGAGAAGAGTTATGAGACATAACGGAAGGTCTGGTCAAAGATCAGAAGGACATGGATCCTCGAGCTCAACTCTAGGTAACCTCATAGTGGAAGAGATGGGTAAGTTGAATACTGTTAAAGAAGATAAACCCATTAGCCAAGGGGAAAGGTAAGGCAGGAAATAGCAGAAAGTGGGTAGACTACTAAGAAAGGAGGGAAGGGTAAGACAAGGGGTAATATGAACACCGGTGTTAACCACAAGTTCCCCAAGTTTATGCAGTTAGTGGCAGCGACACACTCACTTATTTCAATTCTTTGATAATACGTATAATTTATGTCCCAGCCAGAAGAGATTATTGTCTGAAACATTGCATAGTTACTGTACTATTAAATGGGGGAAGGGGAAAGAAAGGTTGAAGAGCTTCGGTACTTCGCTGAAGGCTGTTTGAACCTTGATTCAAGGAGGTAATAACGAGAAAGTGCTAAGCCAGCATGACTATATGGCACTTTGAAGGTGGTGTGAGGGCAAGAGGGCGGGATGTGAGGACGCTGTGAACTTACTTGTGTGCGGAGTAGTCCGGGTAGTCGGCGTAGCGGACGCCTGCAGATATTGCCACCACCACCAGAGGAACCATCACCCCGAATAACATCATCAGCCAGTTGGATTTCTTGAAAGAATTCACAAGTTATGTTCTTGTACTTCGTAAATATTCGCAACTGCTTTATCAAATACGTTCTTCTATTTAATAACATTCCAATCGGCAAGTAACGGTAACAGAAATGGGGTAAAAGGTTTAGAAAGTAAGGAAGAAGGGTGATCCCTACCTGGAAGGGGCTCTTGATGTGGATGACGAGGAGGTGAGCGATGGTGAGCGCCTCCAGCATGAGGAACATGAAGGCCCACAGGAAGAGCAGGTGCAGCACCACAGCCACCGCCACACATCCACTCTGTCAGTAGAACCACCCACTCAATCTCACCAAAGGAAATGTAGATGTTTATCACTGTGATAAAGGAAGTAAGAATTTTGCACCAAGACTGTAATCTTTTGTTGAATTATCTGCATGTCTCTTGCAAATTGTCTATACAGTATACCTAGGTCATAAAAGTATTTGTGTGTACGTCTGATACCATACTACTTGTGTAAAGGAGGAAATGTATATGTTTATCTCTCAGAATGTTTGGTAATATGTTTATTGTTTGTGATGTGTTTATATGTATGTATTAACACGATGTACTGAACGGGGTGAGAATAGCTTGAGCTACCTCATCCCTTTGTGTGTATTTTACCTCAATAAACTTATTTCAATTTCAATTTCAATCTGTGCATCTAAAGAGGTTTATCCACTGCGAGAAATGGCGGGAGCCTTTTGTAAAAAATCACAACATGATGTATATTCTTACTGGTAATATAAGTCATAAAAACCACGATAAAATATTTCATGCTACATAAAAAAAGGACCTGATAAAAACACCCCTTTTCTGAAGCTAAAAGAGGGAGAGCCAGAGGAAAACAAGCCCTCTCACACGAGAGAGCTGGAGACAGGGCCTAATAGGAAGGACTGCGCCGGGATTCACGTGTTCTGTGAACAAGGTGAATCGCTGTGGAATCCTTCCTATTAGGTACTGTCTCCAGCTCTCTCATAGGACTCAAGCAAGCACTTAACAACATGAAGAACTGCACCGGGGCAGTTATAGCCCCACCCCCTGTGCCAGGTAAGTCTACTATGGGCTCACCATAGCCCGTGCTACTTGCAACGTTTGGTTCAGAGTTGCTGAATCTAAAAACAACATCAACAGCACCGGGACTCACCTTGTCGCCATGCCTAACGTGGTCCGGATGAGCGAGCAAGAGGCTGAGGTAAGCGGCCATCAATGAGGACTGGAAGCCCAGCTGAGCTACGCAGTCCTGGTAGAACATCCTGTGGAGCACAAGACAACTGCGTCAGCTCTTCCACAACCTTCCCACAACATTCACGCCCCAAATGTGCTGCCCTCAGTTGGCCTATCACAAATACCCTTCGCAGTGCTCATAATACAATGTAAAATACACATTGCATTATGAGCACTGTGAAATAAACTGTAGACATCTTACCAGAAAACTCTTAGGCCCAATTATCAATTGGTTTAGACCAAATGGCTTGGGATACATGTTACTGTGTAACTCATTTAAAACTGAACAGTAGAATATATTATCATAATCCAGGCGAGGTGTGGTAATGAAGGCTCGCAGGTTCAACTCATAACCCAACTTAAAAGCATCCTGCGAAATGATGATATAACATTTTACCTACAAGTTTAACTCCTCATACAGACTATAGCACATGTAGCTTATGTTCACAGTGCTGTGGACATAAGCTTGGTACACAACAAATGTATTGGACAAGCTGTTTTTGTGCAGGGCTTGTGACACGTGGCAATGACAATATGGGACAACAAAAGTCATGGTGATGCTTGAGACACTGCTGCCTGAATACCTCTGCACCTGAACGTATAGTTTGTTTATGCTCAACTTACCAAAGGACAGCTCGCATATAAGGAATGGTCAGTTATCTGTGTGTGTGTGTGTGACAGATTGGGATAATCGTTTTGACGTATGCCTTTCCATTGGAGACTTTCAGCGCCGTGGAGAAGAGGGACCTGCTGCCTGGGTAACAGCTTCTCCCCCGAATCAACCTACCCGGGCTTTGCGCCCTGGTGAGGCCACTCCAGACCGACAACCAGAGCGCAACTCCATAGTCTCCTGAGACTGATGATGCCTACTACTACCACTTCATAGTCAAGACCATATTTCTAACAATTCTCCCAATCTGTCACACACACAGAGACAACTGACCATTCCTTATATGCGACCAGTCACTCATTCCTCTCACAGCTGATCAATTTCTGGTCTACTAAGTCAACAGTTTTTCTGTAACTTTCTTTATTATTGTTTCCAAGTCTTGGGAGACGGCGGACGTACCCCGTGGCGAAGAAGAAGAGCATGGTGGTGATGCAGGCGGCCACCAGCAGGGCATTGCACACCAGATGCAGCACCTGGCTCTCCGTCAGGGTGGTGAACCCGGACACCACCAGCTGCGCCTGCCACGAGTCCCCAGCGTCAGTAACAGTGTACATCATCGTTGGTATGGGTCAAATAATATTAAGATTAGTAATGGTGATTATTATCGTTTTATTATATTAGGTGCGACTATTGCCATTGTAATTATGAAGATGATGGTGGTGGTGAAGATAGTGAAGATAATGGTTGGGATGATTACCGTAATTAGAGGATTAGTGATAGTGGCATTGATGATGATGATGATGATGATGATGATGATGATGATGATGATGATGATGATGATGATGATGATGATGATGATGATGATGATGATGATGATGATGATGATGATGGTACGCACAACACACACCTGAGGCGAATGGGTCTCTTCCACCGCCGTCATGTTTTTGGTGAGGATCTCTATCTCCGGGGAGGTGGTGACGATGCCCTCCCCGAGGTCGGCCTCCAGCTCCAGGGTGTAGGCTGTCTCAGGGTAAAGCTGCGTCACCGTCACTGTAACAAAATACTACACATACAATATCTAATAATAAACAGGGCAAAATATACAATTCCAAGTTTAAACAATCCCACGAATACAGGAAGACATACACGAAGACAATTCTTCTTGAGATTGTAATCAAGATGACCTTCAATTGACTGATTGACTAGTTTAGTCAACCAGTTCCCTCGTCTAACACGTCGCATTTCTTACGGAGTTGAGCATTCGGTTAAAACTGGCAACGTATTAGCAACAGAGCACCGAAATCCTAACCGTTTCTCGATAGGTTAGGTGGGTTGCTTGGGTTTGTAGCTTTCTGTTTAGGCAAACAAAGTTTAGGCATTTTTTGACGGAGTTGCAAATCGAGAGAACGGGACAGTATATGTCGTAGGGCATCAATTACCTGGAGCCGAGGTAAAGGGCACCCAGTGCAGGGCTCTCTTGTATCTCTTCTCCCTCGACCTCTGGTAGGTGACGGCGAACTTGGCCGCCCACTTGAAGCTCGAGTTGTCCCACTCCATCGTCACCCAGTTCGACCCGATTACCGTCGTGATGTTGGTGAACGCCGCGCCCACTGTCACAGAAATATATCATTATACACACACACACTCTTTAGCAGGAGTTTCCTAGGTGGGCTTTAGCAGCTGGCGGATATATGTGTGTTTTAGCAGATGCTGGATATTATGTGTTTTAGCAGATGCTGGATATTATGTGTTTTGGAGTTGGTGAGTTTGTGACTTTTGTCATTTTATCCTATGTACTTAGACGTTTAATAACTAAGAATTCATGATTGAAAAACGGATTTCCCCCCACCCTTTCTTTCCTCTCAATATCTCAGACACAGGGCCTGTGTGTGGGACTCACCTGAGACCTTGTGGCTGCAGACGGCTCTGTGGGTGTTGGTACACTGCTCCACCACCACGGCCCGGGCCGCCCTCGACACTATGAGACACTCTACGGGTTGAACGTTGACGGAGGCCGTGGCTGTGGGCACCTGGGTCCCGTTCTCCAGCGTCTCCATCCCACTTTCCTCCAGCAGAGACGCGCTGCTAGGCAAAGCTGTAGGCATCAAGCATTGAAATTGAAATTGAAATAAGTTTATTGAGGTAAAATACACACAAAGGGATGAGGTAGCTCAAGCTATTCTCACCCCGTTCAGTACATCGTGTTAATACATACATAGACACACATCACAAGCAATAAACGTATTACCGAACATTCTGAAAGATAAATATATACATTTCCTAATCAAGCATCGTCGTTTAACATAAGCATCAATGGCAACGTCTAACACAGGCATCAGGCATAATGTATTATCTATATCTCAGTGGCCTATGTTAGGAGGATTACGTTTGTAACTTATACTACCACAAGATGAAAATATTTACCTCTGATCTTCTCCCAGACAGAAGATTTAAGACAAAACTTCCAATTGCTCTCACCTGAAGCTTTGAGTTTCATGGAGGTGTGAGAGACCCAGAGGTCGTTGTCTAACTCCAGGGCCATCCTCAGCAGCAGGTCCACCTCCTCCCGGCTGCTGACGGTGGCTAGACTGGTGTCGCTGCCTTTGCACTCCTCGAGAGCTCCGGCGGGGCTGACGGACTCGTAGAGCGGCAGGAAGCACCGGGCGTTCACTTGGCAGTTCTCGCAGTCACAAGGCGGGTCTGCGGCGGCGGTGGGGGGAGATATTGCTGCACACGCTCTCATCACTATATTTTATACTACATATATTACTATTGTTGTGTTATTCAACGAAGTCACTGACTTGTGACTTCGCTTCTTCATGGTAGACTCCACTACGTGACTCCACGACCGTCACGGCCATAGTTTACAGAGCTCCCTGTGTCTCAACTTATATCTTGCACACTCACTTCTAATGTAATATATTTTGCTAATTGTCGGTCGTCTTAAACCCACTGCCACAACCATAAATCATATTACCAGCATTGTGCTATATCCAGCAAGAGGCAGCCCAGTGTCTGTGCAACAACTTATAACTTACAACCTTCCCCCAGGCAGCAAGCATAATACAACCCACAGCCTTCCCCCAATCAAACACGACCTCCCCCCCCCAAGAAAACAAGTACAACGCCACCCACAACTCACACGCCAGTAGGGTGAGGGTCTCCTGGCGTCTCCTGCCATGCAACTCCTCTACTATGACAGTATAGTTGGCCCCCAGCGTCACCCCCTCCGCCTGCAGCTGGGTGCCAGAGGCCTGCATGGTGGTGTCGTGTATGGCCGTATTGGGGTGCGTCCAGTTGAAGAAGCGAACCCTCACTATGTCGCCCTCCTCGAACTCCGCCACCTGACAAGGGTCGGTATAACAATAATACAATTTATTAATAATACAAATACATTTGGACAAAAAATCGATGATCTTGAGAGCCAAGAACAACGTGCACATTGTACGCCTTGTGATCTATTCTGTGTATTAAGTTGGAAAACTGTGTATGTTTTTATTATGATCTATTCTGTGTATGTGCTGGCAACTGTGTATGATCTATTCTGTGTATTTGTTGATAACTGTGTATGTGCTGAAAAACAGATCATCAAATCAAATTGAAAATTAAAATAAATATATTCATAACTCATGCATATAGGCAAGGTTGGAGGCCTATCTCCATTATCTCCATCTATCTCCACGGCCTCCATTGGCCATGGAGGCCATTATCATCATTATTATGATGATTTATTTTGATTATTGTTATCTACATGTCCTGATTAAGTTACACTTAGTAAATAATTATTGTAATTATTGAGTAGTGATGTCTATCGTACCTTTTGTGCCCACACGATGTTGACGAAGCCGTTCTCGTTAAATGAGACCTGCAGAGGTTTCTCTGGATCTGTGGGGTCAGAGGGGCCTGATCAGGGGGCCTGATGCTAGGTAATTACGTCACTTGGCAAAAATTAACATAACTAGAAAACAAATGTCAATTTTATTCCAAATTTAACTAATTTCAGGTTTATGGTACGTTTTGGTACAATATTGTTTTTTGTTTATATATAATATAAATATAGATATAAAGACGTTCTCTCGTGTGTGTCTCTCTCTCTTCTCTCTCTCTCTCTCTGGGTATACTCACAGGTTCTGACAAGCGTGGTTACTTGTTTTCCAGTAAGGCCAACCTGCTGGATGTTGGTCGTCACACTGACGTGGTACTCAGTGTAGGGCTCGAGGCCCGTCTGCAGGAGGTCAACGGCTTCCGCGTCCAGCTTACTCGTGTGGCATCTGCAGGAGGTTCTTGCTGGTTAGGGTCATGTGGCCGGCACCAGTATGTACAACAGCGACTGTTTGCTCACTATATATTGATCAGAGGCAGACACATTAAACCTAGACGAATACCTTCTTGGTTATCTTGAGGTTATCTTGAGATGATTTCGGGGCTTTTTAGTGTCCCCGCGGCCCGGTCCTTGACCAGGCCTCCACCCCCAGGAAGCAGCCCGTAACAGCTGACTAACTCCCAGGTACCTATTTACTGCTAGGTAACAGGGGCATTCAGGGTGAAAGAAACTTTGCCCATTTGTTTCTGCCTCGTGCGGGAATCGAACCCGCGCCACAGAATTACGAGTCCTGCGCGCTATCCACCAGGCTACGAGGCCCCTTGTTCGGATTGGCTACACCAGAGGCCTTGCTCGGATTGCTCGGATTGGCTACACCAGAGGCCTTGCTCGGATTGCTCGGATTGGCTACACCAGAGGCCATGAGAAGAGACATGATCTGCACTATTCAACACACAGATATATTGAAACAAGTCTATATGAATAAGTAAATATCATTATGCAAACACCTTACTATACAAACACACACCACACTCACACACAAGACTTACAATGCAGAGTCGTTCGTAGTGTAAGGAAGGGAGTTTTTGAGACTCCTGTAGGGGCAGAAGGAGACGATGAGAGTGTCGGGCGTCCAGAACTGCTCAGTATAGTTCCAGGAGACGCTAGCTGAGGTGACGTTGGCCTTCCCCCGCTGGAGCTCCGTCACCGCATCCACCATACCTGCAGACACACACACACACGGGTAGTGGCAGGCCCTTTACCAGTACTTCTAAAGAGCATACCTGCTGCTGACTGCTTGACTGACTGTGCCAGGAATATATGTATGTGCTTGCATAGCCCTGCGTATTTATGCAAGTGTATTTATAAGTATAGTTATACATCATACATACTTACACTGAAACAACAACCCCCCTCCCAAAAAAAAAAAAAAAAAAAAAAAAAAAAAAAAAAAAAAAAAAAAAAAAAAAAAAAAAAAAAAAAAAAAAAAAAAAAAACCCGATATCAGAAGCACAGTGGAGCTTACAGATGCCAGACACATTAGATCCTACAAACACCTGAAACACACCACTGAGGCAGCAGGTTATCTTGAGGTGATCTTGAGATGATTTCGGGGCCTTAGTGTCCCCGCGGCCAAGTCCTCGACCAGGGCTCCACCCCCAGGAAGCAGCCCGTGACAGCTGACTAACATCCAGGTACCTATTTTACTGCTAGGTAACAGGGGCATAGGGTGAAAGAAACTCTGCCCATTGTTTCTCGCCGGCGCCCGGGATCGAACCCGGGACCACAGGATCACAAGTCCAGTGTGCTGTCCCCAGATAACAGACTCAGTAACACAGGAGCTTGCAGTCAGCAGTCTCGCCCTTAAAATATACCGGAAAAGGGTCTTACTTTCTGGATTGAATTCGCAGACGGTCGGAAGAAGCGCACTGCAGACCTCTCCGCTCCAGCTGTACTGGTACTTGCCCCAGCTGGCTTTAATGCAGCAGGTGGTGCTCGACAGCTGGGCGTTGGTGGAGGAGAGCAGTGATTGCTGCCAGATGGAGCCGTCAGTCCACACGTTACCTGCAAGGTATTTGGGAAAATGTTGTGACAAAAGCATCGAATTCTATATTTTCTTCAAAGGCATCGTCTTTTTATTTTTATTTTCCTCAGAATCAAGCAATTCCCTGTTTTCTTCACGTCCAGGAAATTACAGTCTATACAAGTTATGTAATGTTATGTACCTGAAAATTTTTATATATAAGAAAAAGTAATTAAATATGTAGGAGGGGACGAAGGACTTGACTTTACACGTCAAGGCTTTCCACACGCGGACAAGTGCGACTCTCTGAAGTGAAATCTGTGGTAATGGAGCCTCACCTGTGCTGTCAGGTAGGGACCTCTTTAAGGTCTTTGTTTGCAAATACTGACAGGCTAATAACCATTCTTTGGTAATAATGCTAAATTGTGGAATAGACAAATACTCAAGTACGAAGGTGTTACATGAGAAAACAGTGTACTCAGAACTGTGTATATGTTGTTTGCTTGTTTACCACCCTTCTACTCGAGTATCTGTCTCGGGCTAAAGAAACCTCACCTGTGCTGATGAAGCCTCGCCTGTGCTAATGAAGCCTCGCCTGTGCTAATGAAGCCTCGCCTGTGCTAATGAAGCCTCGCCTGTGCTAATGAAGCCTCGCCTGTGCTAATGAAGCCTCGCCTGTGCTAATGAAGCCTCGCCTGTGCTAATGAAGCCTCGCCTGTGCTAATGAAGCCTCACCTGTGTAATCGGGACACATGTTGAGCCCTATCCAGTAGGTGTCGAGAGTAGGCGCCGAAGACCCCTGAAGCAAGGCGTCACGCAGGAGGTCAGCCTCGTTGAGCGTCGGGAGGGAAACGAGAGAGCCGTCGCCCCGCTGGCACTGTGCCTCCTGCCGCTCCCACCCCGCCCTGTTCTCCGTCACGGTGTACACCAACAGCTCCCCCTCCAGCTCCGTCAGGAGTAGTGGTAGCGCTGCCGATGACGGAGAAGCACATAAGGGTAAAGTGAGGAGCAGGACGAAGTGAACAACGAAGAAAAAATATAAGATTTTAATAGGAATAAGCAGAGGTGTGAGGGTGAACAGAAGGGCCGGGAGAATCTTGCAAACTTCAGCAGTGATCAGCGGAGACACAGCTCAAGGGGAAAAATATATGTGGAGAATGTTAGGAGCGGTAAATGGCCGTCATTATTATTATTAGCATAATATTTAATGTTCATTTTGGATAGGCTTGGCATGTTAGAATATAATGTAGTAAAGCAAACATACACACACAGTTTCGCAGAGTGGTAGATAGTTGGGACAAGTTAGGTGAGAAGGTGGTGGAGGCCAAAACCGTCAGTAGTGTCAAAGCGATATACGACAAAGAGTACTGGGAAGACGGGACACCATGGGCATAGCTCTCATCCTGTAACTACACTTAGGTAATCACACACACACACACCAGCCCAATATGAAGCACACACATAAAGTACCTCCCCCCCCTCCTCACCTGTGTAAGCCTTGATGGTGCCGCACTCGACAGAGACCAGACCGAAGTGGCAAGTGAGGCGGATCAAGTACTCCGTCTGGAAGGTGAGCTGCGGCATCTCCACCCCCACCACCAGCTCTCCCCCGACCCTGCTGCGAACTCCCACATTCCCTCGACCACTCACGTTTGCGGTCCAGTTCTCTGTCAAGCAAAGAAAACAAACCAAATAAGCGCAGTTAAAAGATTATATATATATATATACACACTACCATTACGGTTTTATTTAGTAGGTTTGGATAGAGTTATTTTATTAAATGTGGATTTAAATTTAGCGTTTTTTTAGCGTTTAGCATTATTTTTTAATTTACTTTTTTTGGTGCTAAGGAGGATCGTTGATAGTTTTGTGTGTTATGAGTGTGTTATAGAGCTTAGAGTGTGTTATAGAGCTTAGAGTGTGTTATAGAGCTTAGAGTGTGTTATAGAGCTTAGAGTGTGTTATAGAGCTTAGAGTGTGTTATAGGCGGCTGAGATCACCCGAGGTTTTAGGAGTACTTACATATATTTTGCTGTTGAGAACAGTCTTTGTTTTAGCAAGTTGCCTAAGTAATTTTGTGTTATCACAGTGATACATGTATGCTATCACAGTGATATATGTGTGTGTTATCAGTGATACATGTGTGTTATCACAGTGATAACACAAAACCCAGCAAGAAGCGAAGCCGTCACTATACCAACCACGCTGAAGTGGTTGGGTAGTTAAGTGGCAACAGATAGAGAAATCATCGCTGTGATACACACACACACACGTGCGTGCGTGCGTGCGTGCGTGTGTGTGTGTGGGGGGGGGGGTTATGTAGACTCACCAGCGCCCCCAGCGGTGATCACCACCGTGTAGAGGAAGGCCGTCCCTTCATCCCACGTCTCCGGCACGAAGAACGACTCCTGGTACTCCGCCTCGAAGTCCACGTCGCCGCTTCCGACGTCCTCCTCGTCGCCCGTCGACGTGGTGGACGTGCTACTTGTAGTGTCGGTGCTGCTTGGAGTGCTGCCTGTAGTACTGGCTGCAGTGCTGGCTGTAGTGCTGGCTGTAGTGCTGGCTGTAGTGCTGCCTGTAGTGCTGATCGTAGTGGTGCCACTTGTAGTGCTGCTGCCTGTAGTGATGCCACTTGTAGTGCTGCCTGTAGTGCTGCTACTTGTAGTTCTGCCCGTAGTATTGCCACTTGTAGAGCTGCCTGTAGTACTGCTGCTTGTAGAGCTACCTGTAGTACTGCTGCTTGTAGCGCTGCCTGTAGTACTGGCACTTGTAGTGCTGCCCGTAGTACTGGCACTTGTAGTACTGCCTGTAGTACTGGCACTTGTAGTACTGCCTGTAGTACTGGCACTTGTAGTGCTGCTTGTAGTACTGCCTGTAGTACTGGCACTTGTAGTGCTGCTTGTAGTACTGCCTGTAGTACTGGCACTTGTAGTGCTGCTTGTAGTACTGCCCGTAGCGCTGCCACTTGTACTGGCACTCGTAGTGTTACCACCAGTGCCACTCGTGGAGTTGCCCGCAGCGCCACCCGTAGTATTACCAGCAGTGCCACCTGTAGTGTTACCAGCAGTGCCACTCGTAGAACCACCTGTAGTACCACCCACAGTGCCGCCCCCCGTGCTACCTGAAGTCCCACTTGCCGTGCCGCCCGAAGTGCCGCCGCCGGCGCCCCCCGTCATAGCTTCGTCATACTGCGAGGCGCCCGTCTCCTCTGCGGCGGCGGCGGCAGCGGCCCCGGTCTCCTGCTGCAGGGACGCGCCCACCACCCGGGCCGGCAGCCACGTCACCATGAGCGTCCCGTTCCAGACGATATCGGCGGCCAGATCCACGTCGGCGACGAAGGCCCCGTAGCCGCTGGTGAGCGTCGAGAGCTTCACGTCCGCCCACGCGACTGAAACAGGCAATCATGGTTTACCTTACCCCTGGAACCATCTTACCCCTGGAACCATCTTACCCCCTGGAACCATCTTACCCCCTGGAACCATCTTACCCCTGGAACCATTTTACCCCCTGGAACCATCTTACCCCTGGAACCATCTTACCCCTGGAACGACCTTACTCTTGGACCACGTGGTTGTGGTGCAGGGGTAAAGTACGCCAGGTCGTTGGTTCCAATCCATGTATTGCTCCAACTGATATTCTCAATTATATTATTGATGGTAATATGATGCTAATATTGATGACTATAGTAATAATTGTGATGGTAATACTGTTACGGCTTGAAAGTAATAGTAATATTGATAATAGTAACATTATTGATGATAATAATACTGTTAAAGAGAGAGAGAGAGAGAGAGAGAGAGAGAGAGAGAGAGAGAGAGAGAGAGAGAGAGAGAGAGAGAGAGAGAGAGAGAGAGAGAGAGAGAGAGAGACAGACAGAGAGAGAAAGAGAGAGAGAGAGAGAGAGAGAGAGAGAGAGAGAGAGAGAGAGAGAGAGAGAGAGAGAGAGAGAGAGAGAGAGAGAGAGAGAGAGAGAGAGAGAGAGAGAGAGAGAGAGAGAGAGAGAGAGAGAGAGAGAGAGAGAGAGAGAGAGAGAGAGAGAGAGAGAGAGAGAGAGAGAGAGAGAGAGAGAGAGAGAGAGAGAGAGAGAGAGAGAGAGAGAGAGAGAGAGAGAGAGAGAGAGAGAGAGAGAGAGAGAGAGAGAGAGAGAGAGAGAGAGAGAGAGAGAGAGAGAGAGAGAGAGAGAGAGAGAGAGAGAGAGAGAGAGAGAGAGAGAGAGAGAGAGAGAGAGAGAGAGAGAGAGAGAGAGAGAGAGAGAGAGAGAGAGAGAGATACTTACTAGCGTGCAGTTCGAAGTCAAATTTGGCAAGGGGTCTGTCATCGGCCCACGGCAGGAAGGACACGGTGTACACGTTGCCTTCCTCCACACCAGTCGCCAAGGTTTTGTTGTCCTGCACCGACAGAGGTCAAGGGTCACAAGCAGATGCAGGCCAAGGGTCACGAGCAGGTGTAGGTCAAGGGTCATGGGCAGGTGCAGGCCAAGGTCACGAGCAGGTGCAGGTCAAGGGTCATGGGCAGGTGCAGGCCAAGGTCACGAGCAGGTGCAGGTCAAGGGTCATGGGCAGGTGCAGGCCAAGGAGGGACAAACAGAGACAAAGATAAAATATGTTAACCGCAGTTGTAAACATATGAAAGACATGGTTTTATAATGAGTTAGTATAGCTGTAAATATACCGGCATAGAGGGAAAAACGTTACCCCGAGTATGACTACTTGTTCGGGCAAAAGACCAGAGTACTCAAAGTTACAGGTTTGGACTCTGATATATTTATGAATCAAGAGCAGATCGTGTGATACAGAGTGGTAGATCAATCTCCCTCAGTTGACTGGACATTTTATGTTTTTTTGTAAAGCCACTAAAGACTTAGGTATACCATACTCTGGATACTAGAAATTGAAATGACACTTGCTTCCTTCAGCGGGAATAGAGACCTGGGAACCTTGGATAATTATAACCCTGGAAACACAAACCGAAACTGTCTCTATTTTCCGCTTGTTACAACTTGTAATAAAGTTGTTACTTCTTGGCTTAACGTGTTTATGACGTATTAGAACGTTGTTACAACTTGCTATATTGGTTGTTATAACTGGTTAGGAGGTGTTAAAACTTGTTCGAACGTTGTACCAACGTCGTAATTTCGGTGTGTGTTTGGCGGGATAAAGTCTAAATTCCTCCGAAGCTTGGATGAGACTCCCAGAAAGCAGAGAACACCTCCCACAGGACTAACGTTCTTGTTGAGGGTCTTCTCCTTGGTGACGTTGGAGCCGCTGGTGTCGGTGATCCGGAGGAGCACTGTAGGTGTGAGCCAGCCGTTGGTGTCGGTGCTCCAGCTCAGCTCCACCACCCCGCTCCCCACCACCGCCGCCTGCAGCTTCGACGGCGCACGGAACACCACTACCCGGAACATAAAAACAACATATGAGTCAATCAAACTGAGGAAGGGCTAAGGGATCCAGTAAGTTCAGTAGAACTTCGGTTTCAACTCTTTTACCCTGTCGTAGCTCAGTCGATTAAGGCAGTGTCTGGGATGCTCCCGGACGCAGGTTCGATTCCTCGTCACGGCCCTTGTAGATTTGTTCACAGGCCTATTGGTCCATGTGGGGCAGCTCCTATTTATATACACCCAAACTCATTCATATATATATATGTCTAACCTTCGCTTGAAACCATCCATCGATCTCAAGAATGAAGGACATTGCATAGAACAAATATTTTACATCATGCATCTTTAAGACTTCAATAGGTATAAAATATTCCTGTTATATATATTGATAAAAAGAGTCACTAAATTACTTATCATAGTCCTAAAGTAGTAGTAAACAATTCCCATGAATGACTGACGAAACTATTTAAACTTCCAGCTGTGCAGCGAGGCCTGCCTCTCAGCTGTGCAGGGAGGCCTACCTCTCAGCTGTGCAGGGAGGCCTGCCTCTCAGCTGTGCAGGGAGGCCTGCCTCTCAGCTGTGCAGGGAGGCCTACCTCTCAGCTGTGCAGGGAGGCCTGCCTCTCAGCTGTGCAGGGAGGCCTGCCTCTCAGCTGTGCAGGGAGGCCTACCTCTCAGCTGTGCAGGGAGGCCTACCTCTCAGCTGTTCAGGGAGGCGTACCTTGCTCGGTGCAGGCGACATCTTGGGGGTCACACACGTCCAGGATGGCCAGGATGCCGTCGGAGCCGCAGGTGAGGTTGAGCCCCGGCAGCACACACGTCAAAGACACGTTGTACCTGTAACAAGAGAACCATTACCGCCCAGTTTCCACACCTCGAGGAGGGCCTCCTCGCTCATACAAAAGAGGGTATATAAATATATATATCCCAATAGGGATATACACGGGAGACATCTCCCGTCACGCAGGGTGCAATCACACCTCCACAGATCTCCAATATCAGCTATTGATACTGGTAATGGCTCAAAAGGGCCACCACTTACGGGCTATTCATGCCCGTGCCACCTTTTGGGTGGCTTAATCTTCATCAATCTTAGGGATATGCTCCGGTTAATGAGGCATCGAGGGAGTATGCTGCCTCTCGGCTTCACAATCTTGCTAAGACTGTGATCTCTCAGGCTTTTGAAGCAGGTGTTAAAACATCATAGATCTGATTTGCTCCACTGTCAGTAGCACTGTTGTGGCTAGTACTCTCCGCTGTCCAGCTACCAGCACTGTGGCGCCTTCTCACACTGATGACATATGCTTTGTTATACCACTGCTCGGGCCATCGGCACCAACATCACTGTACGCGCTGGAAATATACCCACCACACATCATTCCTATGAACGACATAGCTGCGAACCTTGGAGTAACGTGACAATAACTCCTGTTTCTTGGTGTGCATCGCTGGG